CCGGCTCCCATGGAGGGACTGCAGCCTGCTTGTTGCGAAGGTCACGGCCGGCTGCCCCGCTCAAGGACGGAGGAGAACAGGCAGGAGCTGATCCCCTGCAGCTCTGAGCTGCCATCCCATGGGAACGCGGCTTCGGCATCGCCCCTCGCTCATCCCGCAGCCGGAGCTGGGGAGGCTGGAAGCGATGCCGGTGGTTCTTCCAAGGGGATAACAGCATCAGCAATGAGGATGAGGCTTTTCCACCCGCAGCACCGGTTGCCTGCAGCACGCTGCCGGGCCCAGCCGCTGCCGGCTCCCGCCATGGAGACCTGGGATCACCCCAGATATTTCAGGCTGGATCCCCCCTCCATGAGCAGCAGCCCCGCTGTGGGGCAGGTCGAGCATCCCCAGGAGTGACAGAGGAACAATTATTATTACTCCTAAGGGTAATAATTAATGACCGAATCAAATGCTGGCTGTGACAACGGGACTGTCGCAGCTGTAAGGGTCCCCCCGTCCCCGCTCACCAGGACGCGGCCGAAGCGCTCCTCCAGCTCGGCTGCGGCGGGCATGGGCTGCCGGGCGGGCGGCGCGGCGGCGCTCGGGGGGGCGGCGGGGGGCCGAGGGTCGTGGGTCTCCCGCCTCGCCGGCCCCCCCTCCATGCCCCCGGCCGCATTGCCCATGGCCGGGCTGGGCTCGGGGGTGCTGCTGCTCCTCCCCCCGCTCCGAGGCTGCTCTCAGCCGTTTGCAACTTCGCCGGGGCGTTATCGCGCTGTTAACACCTCCCCCCCCCCCGCCCCCCCGCCCCGGCGGGCAGGGCTTCACCGGCCCGGCCCCGGCGCTCGGACCGCAGCGTGGGGCTGCACCGCTGCCCGCTGCCTCCTGCCCGGTCCCAGCTGATGTCAGCTTGTGCGACCTTAGCGTTTGATCTCATTTGTTAATTTAATATTTTAATGTTATTAAGTTTATTATTTTATTTCACTTTATTTCATTTTCTTATTTTATTTTTTAATCTTGTTTATTATTTTATTCTATTTTTAGATGTAAATTTCATTTTATATATTTTATTCTACATTTAGTTGGCTTTATTTTTAATTTATGCATTTATTTTATTTAATTTTTATTTTAGCTTATTTTATGTAATTTTTATTTCGTGTTATTTTATTTTTTATTTTATTCTTTTTTCCTTATCCTTTACCTTTTAGATCATATTACTTTAATTGAATTTCATTATTTTATTTACTTTTAAAACGTTTATTATTTATTTTGTTATTTTATTTCCTTATCCTGTTTTTTTTTCTTATTAATTTTATGCTATTATTTATTTTATTCCATTTACTTTCAAATTTTGTTCTATTATTTCATTTTCTAGGGTGACAGTTGGAGCGAAGGGTGCAGCCAGGAGGTGTCAGGCTCCCTCCTTCCCCACTTCAGCCTCCACAGGAGGGCGAGCTGAGGCCAAGCCGGCTCATTGCACCGCTGGGCAGCCCACCCTGGGCAGGGCCCCCCAGGTGCCGGGTTGGCACGGTGTGGGCAGATCCTGCAGCCTGGGATGCTCCTGTGCTGCTGCTGGGCCCTGACAAAGGTGGATGAGCAGAACCACCTCACCCAAGGGTGCCATGGGCAGGCAGCACACGGTGATGGCAATCCCTGGAGAGCTGCAGCACCCACCACCTTCAGCAGAGCACCCACCACACATGGTCGGGGCTGCAGCAGCTGGTGTCACCTCCTCCACATGCAATTCCTGCCGGCTGCCTGCCGGCACAGAGCAAGGCGTTTCTCCATGGCATCAATGCTGGGGCACGAAGTACATTATTCTACTAAGATTTGGTGAGATTTACTGAGATTTGGTGAAATTAAAGACTAGGGATGGGTAGAGGATGGATCCAGAAGGGCTGCTGGAACCCTTTGCGCAGCCCTGGGGCTGCATCCATCCAGCTCTCGTAGCATCTCCTGTTTGGCAGCACCGGCTAAGGTGCTGGGACAGGCGCTTGGCACTGCAGAGACCAGGGGAACGTGCCGAACCTGTTCTGTCAACCTCTGCAAACCCTAAATCCCAACCAGGGGATGCACAACCTGATCAGGAGCTGCCATGGATTCCTGAGCTCCCTCTGGCACTATGCTGCAACCTCTCTGTCATCTCTGGGGCTCTGGGAGGCCAGAGGGGAGCAGCAGGCAGCTCAGCAGCACCAAAATTGGGGTCACCCACATTTGTGTTCGTTCCACTTTTCCAAACAATTTTGCAGTTAAAATATCTTTTGTCTCATTAAATATTTCAGCATCTTGTTAAATATTTTGCAATTAATATGCTCATCCTGGTTTTCAAGGGACAGGGATGGTCACCCCGACAGTCCCAGGAGGGCAGATGTCACCAGGACCATGTATGAAGACCAAGTTTTTCACCCAGAGGTCCCACGCTGGGGACAGACCCTGCTGTGGGGCAGGGAGCCTGTGAGGACCCCAAGGGACACCTTCCCCTAGACCAGGTTTTTCAAAGCTCCATCAGAGTCCTCTCTTTTCACCACTTTTCTGGTGTTTGATTTGCAGTACATGAAGGCCTTTGTCTGACAACTCCAATGACATGGGAGCCGCTTGCTTACTGCTGTAATGATCCTTAAAAATACGCTAGAAAACATGTTCCAATAATCATCTTCAGTATGTGCCCAGGGCTAATTTATTAGTTTTTTACATTAAGGCTGACTTCAGACATAGGTTTGTTTCTTAATTAAGTTCAATTCATTGAGAAACCCTCAAGCTGGACATCAGACCCTTTGGTTTTCCCCCTGGATTTGCAGCTCCACAATATTATACTGTTTTCTTTATGTTAGAGATACCCAGGCAATATTTGCTCATCCAAAGAAGCATTCCTAGACCTACACTGTACAGTCCAGAATAAACCCAAGCTTAGCATGATAACTTGGCACTGAAGGATTAAGCTGCAGAAGCTTGACAGTATTTGGATAGCTGACCCCACCTCACATACCTTCAAGGAGCTGGACCTAGAGGTACCTGAACCAGGGAGGGAACTGTTCCTCAAGGCTGCCCGAGGGCATAGCTCTTCCTTTGTTCCTTGGTGAGGATTTCTGATGGTTTGAGGACTTGCTCTGAAGTTGTGTGGCTGAAGTGAAGGTCGACCCAAGGTTCTCTCTTGGTGGAAGTATCAAGATCTTAATTCCTTTACTTCTGAGGTGCTGAGCTTGGATTTCTGTTTTCCGTGCTGCTGAATTTCTTAGTGGCTGTAATGAGTTCCAGGTATAACTCCACTCTCCATTTAGCCCGTCTTCTCAAGTGCACATTTTAATGTGTTAAGCTATGAGAAGCAGTAGAAGGAGAAGAAAAGTGTCTCTTCTACTGGTAGATCAGCTTCTTCTGCAGGTTTTCACAGCATAGAATAGAGGAATTTAGGGGGAAAGCTCATGGCTGGAGTCCTGGGACATGGAAGTTTGGGGCTGCAAAGAGCTTGAAAAACAGATGAAGGTAAACATTGTTCCCAACCAGAAATATTTTGGTGTCACATCACAAATAGCTCATCTGAGCATTAATTATACATAACTTGGTGTTTGCTTATCAGCTGCAGCTTGAACACAGTTGGCTTGGCTCCCAAGGGATGTGTGTGAGTTCAGAATCTATGTAAGGAGGAAAACATGGAATAGATAATGAGCAAAAATTGTGATATGATGTGTGTGAGGAGTAAGGGAAGAGCAGTGGAGGAGAAAGGGGCTCCTCAGCCACTCTGTTGCTCTGGGAAGGGAAAATAAAAGCCATGGATAGAACACAGAATAATTTTTTTATTGGTTTCTAAGGAGTTTCTCTTCCATCTCAGAGCAGTGAATCCACTTCTGCTGAAAACATGGGAGGAACAGGAAGCAGGCGAGCTCTGTCTGGAGCCATCTCAGTCAGCTGTTGAAGAGCCATGGTTGGACCCTGGAGGAATCATGGAGCCATTTAGGTTGGAAAAGACCTTTAACATCATCACATCCAATCATTAACCTGGATCCAGGGATGGGACAGCTGCCACCTCTCTGGACAACCTGTGCCAGTGTTCTACCACCCTCATTGTGAAGAATCCTTTCCTCGCATTCAACCTGAATCTCCCTCTTTTTGCCTCAAACCATCACCCCTTGTCCTGTCACAACAGGCCCTGCTAAAAAAGTCTCTCCTCACCTTTCCTGTAAGCCCCTTTTAAGTGTTAAAAGGCCACAATAAGGTTTCCCTGGAGTCTTCTCCAGGCTGACCAATACCAACTCTCTCAGCCTTTCTTCGTAGGTGAAGTGCTCCAGTCCCTCCACCATCCTTCACTGAACTCCCTCCACTGTGTCCACGTCTCTCTTTTACTGGGGACGCAGAACACGACACAGTCCTCTAGGCACGGCCTCACCAGTGCTGAAAAACTGGAAGAGTCATCTCCCTCCACCTACTGGCAACGCGCTGTCAAAACGCAGCCCAGCGTTATTCACCAGCTCTGCAGTAAGGGCACGCTGCTGGTTCACAGTCAGCCTGGCGCTCACCAGCATCCCTAGACCAAGCTCCATTCTAGCTGGGTATTTCCCAGCACCCACCAGTGCCTGGGGTAGTTCTGCCCCAGGATCAAGGCTGTGAACTTCATGTAAAAGGAGAGGGGCTCCTAAACACCAATGTCTGCCCAAGCTGCGTCCTTAGGAGGGGGTTGGAGGTCACACAGCAGGGTCTGGGCCCCTTCCAGCCATGCTGGTCCCAAAGTTGCCCCAGAAATGTAGAGACTAGAGGCCCCAGGGCTCACCCTGGTTCCTGCTGCCTGTGTGCTCGGGACATGATGCCAGCCCTGCTTTGTGATGAGGAAAGACTCCTACAAACAAAGGATGACAAGGGCTGCTGCTAGAGCTGCCCCCAGGGCCAGCATCTCTCCTGGAGAAGACAAGGGTGATGACCCAAGTAGGGGGAGAACCCAGTGCCAGCTCCCAAAGAGTGAGCACAGCTCAGGCAGCTCTCCCCACCTTTCCCACTGATTTTGGGTGAAAAAAAAGGAGCACACAGGGAGTACAGAGATTCTGAGTGCTTTATTGTGACAGCTCGAGCCCAGGGGGCCATGCAGACAGGAGCACGAGTTCCTTGCTGAACAGGGACACCATGGGACCCCAGACCTCACCCATGGGAGAGGAGCCCTGGGCTCTGGGTCCACCCCAGGGCGGCCAGGTCATCGTGAGCTGCTGGAGAAGGTTTCATCCCCACTGGTCCCTTCTCTTCTCTCAGCAGCAGCTCTAGGTGGTCTAGGTCTGGGGTGGCATGGCCACACTGACACTGCTCTCTGCCTCCCCTGTGTCTGCAGTGCTCCTGTCTTCGTCTTCCTTTTTGTCTGGCAGCGACTCTGATATACTGGAACCTCGTTGGAGCTGAGATCCAGAGGTTTGGTCCTCCTCTGGGGTGCAGCCTAGGTCTGCGGGCAGATGGAGAGAGGGAATGGTGAGGAGTTGGCAGAGTTCAGCCTCCACCCTCTGCTAGACGAACATATATGGCACCTGTGGCGGTCAGCTCTGGATTCCAGAGACCTGATCACACACAGATCCCAGCCCTGCAAAGTTGGATGTGCCCATCCCAAGGCTGCATTAGAGATTGCCCCTCAGGGATGAGGATGGAGGGATTGAAGCTGGCCTGGAGCAGAAATGCCATAGCAGGGACACAGCTGGGTGTTTAGTGGCACTAGGAGAGGGAAGCAGCCCAGTTGGGGATGGCAAAGCAGAGAGAATAGGTTGATGGGGTGCACTGGGGATAACACTTCAAGGGCCATCACCTTCCTCATCCTGAGTCTCCAAGACTTTCCTCTCCAGGCTCTGGGACAGCAGGGTCAGCCTGTTGAGGGCCAGCAGGGCTTTACCTGTTTTCTGGAGAGAAGAGCAGGAGCAGTGAGCCCCAGCACCAGATCCATCCCCATCTCCACATCCTCACCAGCCCTCCAGGTACCTGCCACTTCCGATGGGTCAGGAACTGCTTGATCTTCTCCTTGGGCAGTGCCTTCATGCTGCAAAGCTGGGGCTGCTGCAGCCAGGGGTGCAGCAGGGCCCCCGTGCTGGAGAGCCGGCGCCTGGGGGCACAGGGGGCAGTCACAAGGGGACCTTCATCTGCTGGCATGGCCCCATGGAGTATCCCTTCCATTAACCACATTTGATGCTTTCCTCTGCCTGTCCCCTTGGCACCCCAAAACCCAACCAGCTCCAGCTCAGCATCCCCCCAGGTCCTACCGGGGGTCCTTCTGCAGCAGTTGGCTGATGAAGTCCTTGGCTAGCTGGGAGATGTCCGAGAAGGTCTCCTCCTCAAAGTCCCACTGGGCAGCTGTGATGTTGCTTAGTGTTTCCATGTCATTGTCCCCCTGGAAGGGGGACTCCCCACTCAGCCTGGAGAGGTGGCACAAAGACATCAGTGACAGCCCAGCCCTCTCCATCCCAACCTGCTGTTCCCAAGAGGCCACTCACAGGATGTAGCAAATGACACCAACACTCCACATGTCTGTAGAGAAGCCCACAGGCTCAAAGGCGACCACTTCTGGAGCCATGAACTCAGGGGTGCCATGTAACACTTTCACAGGGGTGCCTGGAGCTGCAGAGAAGATGCATGGGGCAGGTTTCTGGCTGGGATCTCCCAGCTGGGCAGCCCAGCTACACACCAACACATGCTGGGTGGATGCCACATTCCAGAACCCATTGCAGGTCTTGGTGCTTTCCTAGAGCATCTCTAGGTGCTGGGCACCTGCAGGCACAGGGGTCTTGGCGGTCTCCATATCAGAAGCGTGGCTGGGGACATGCAGGTTTCCCCAGAGCATCTTATGGTCACCAGGAAGAGCCCTGATCTAGTGCCATAGCGCTGCCTGTCCCAGAGGTGCAGGCAGGAGGCTGACAAGCTCCTTGCTGATGTGCCCAGCCAGATCAGGTCTTGTGATGGTGACAGTCCCTGCCCTGGTTCCCCAGACCACTCATTCTTCTCACCCAGCTTCCGCGCCAAGCCGAAGTCAATGATCTTGAGCCAGTGGCTGCTGGGGCTGACACACACGATGTTCTCGGGTTTAAGGTCGAGGTGGACGATGGCCTGACCGTGCATGAACTGCAGCCCCTCCAGGATCTGCCGCAGGTACTGGGTGCTGCTGGGCTCTGTGTGCTCGAAGTCATCGTCCACGACGCGCTCGAAGAGCTCCCCACCTGCCACACTGGGGGAGGACAAAGACCTGCTGGGGGCCACCAGCCCCAAGGAGAAGCCCCACTGCAGAGGATCTCACTAGCCTTATCTCCAGGGGCTGCAGGTTTCCTATCCATCCATGGTGCAGGGACCTTTTCCCACCTTCATGCTCTCCCTGACAAAGTCCAGCACTGCCCTCCCTACCCCCAAACTTAGCTCTGTGCCCCCACTCACTACTCCATCACCATCACCAGCTCGGCGGGGCCCTGGAAGGCAGCAAGGCACTGTACGAGGCGCGGGTGATGCAGCCCGTTCATGAGCTCCACCTCATCCCAAGCCGCCTGCTTCTCCTTCGCTGTCCGTGTCCGGAAATATTTCCCAGCCCGGATTTTGCCAGTGGCTTTTTCCTGCAGGCGGAACACCATCCCGAACTTCCCTCTGGGGCAGAGCAAGGATGAGGCATGGAGGAGCCATCCCCACCAATCTGCATCTCAGACAGAGCTGCACATGGACAGCCATGGACCATCCCTGAGTGGTGGGGATGTTGGACTTCCACTTACTCTCCCAGCTTCTCCAGCTGCGTGTACACATCTGAAACCTGCTCCTGGCTGTTGATGACCACATCACAGTATTCAAACTTCTCACCTCCTGGGAGGGATGGAGCAGAGTGGTCCATGTATGGATCTCTCATGCTTTGGGGACCAGCTGCCTGCACTCCTCCTCAGTGCTTCTTTCTGTACCCCCAACTCCATCCAGGTTCTACCACCCTCCCTATGGGAGGTGATGGGACCGGGGGGGGATGACATGGGGACAAGAGCTGCTACCATGATTGCTCCTCGAGCAGCCCAGATCACGGTTTGGGGGGGAAATGTGCTTTTAGGATCAAAAATTCAAGAAAAATGGGGCCATTAAACAGGATGGCATGGAGACTGGTGCTGACTGTGAGCATCACACCCGCACTGGGGTCCCAATGCAAAGCCTGAGCCTCCCCCAGGACAGACCAAGGGCTCAGCCGTACCTTCTGCCTGGGACATGGTGGCACCAACAGCTCCTCCCTGGGTGCTGGTGCTGTCAGGACGAGTGCTGGTTGTGGCCCTGAGGTTTCCGGCAGCCCTGTGCTGGGGTTGGGGTGCTGAGGCGATGCACACGTTTCTGCTCCGGCTGTGGGGACACTTTCTCCCTGCCATGGGAGACCTCCAGCATCTATCCACCCCTCCCCGCATTCCCCATCCTACACACCTCTGATGGCAGATTAAGACACTTTCAGTCTGTAAGAGCTGATGTCCTGAGGGACCCAAAGAGACCCAGCAAGGGGCCAAACATGCTAAAGCAAAGTCCCTTCTTAGGGACAACCTCTTTACAGTAGCACCTTAGCTCAAGGACACGGTTTTTCTCATGCCCAGTCTTGCATCAGCCAGGAAATCCCCAGGAAGTCTCATTTGTAGAGCAAAGGACATATACCCTTATACATGTCACCTCCTCACTCTGTCTATGCTAAGGTTAGGAGGACAGGATGATGACACCCAAGGGTGCAATGTAGCAGCACTCAAGCACCAACCCCACAGCACTGACCTGTCACTGTCCAGTCCTGTCCCAAGACACCAGCAGGTCCCTGATCCTTCTGTTCACCACAGAGCCACCACGGAGCTGGAGGGGGAATGAAGGGGTGATGTTGGGGGTCAAGGACCATTGGGCCTATGAATATGCGGATACACTGGGGCTCTCTCTGGGTACAGCCAGGAACATCCGTCCTGCTTCAGTACTGGAACAGCCCTGGCTCTCCCCTCCTTTTCCTTCCCAGTGAGTTTCCGGACTTGAGGGATAAACAACCAGCATCAGTATCACTGAGTCCTCCTGCAAACCATGCCCAGCACCACAGTCTCAAACCCCCTGACATCCCATTTGGCAGCATGGAGGGTCATAGGTCTGCAGTATGGGGGCTTGGGCAGGGAAATCCCAAAGGGAAGCTGCAGAGACCTTACATACCTCATTACACAGCAGAGAGCTCAGCTCTGTGCTGCCCTCAGGGCATGGATCCAGACTCACAGCCTCTTGAAAGCCACATGAAGCCCTGACCCAGCACCACCTCCACCTCCTCTCCCACCCATGGGTGGGTTCCTGCAGAACACCCCCAACTGCTGTCCCATCCCCAGCTCCACCTGCAGACAATATCCCACCAGAGCTGTCCCTCTCCCCAAACAGCATCTTGGGCTTCTAGCTTCCCTGGCTGAGCTCAGCCACAGGCTCGGGGTGTGGGGATGAAGTTGAATGGGGTGTTGCAAAACTCTTCCGGGCCTTTGAGCCCAGTGGTTTGGAGGAAAGATGGTTTTTTCCAGCCTTTATTCCCTGGAAGGAGGGCAGCACAGCCATTTGGTACTGCCATGCCTCAGTTCTCCTGCTTTAAATTGGGAATAACACCATGATTTCCTCCTGGAGCTGGCCCTAGGTTTGTGAATGGGGCAGCAGCACCGGGGGGGGCAAACACACCATCCTCTTCAGGGACCCCCATGTCACAGCATCACCCTGAGCAGAGGGGATGTCACCCTGGTGTTACCTGTGGTCCGAAGCCAGGTCTCACAGTGACCTGGGGCTCTGCCAGCTCCAGCAGACGTGGCACCGCCGCCACTTCCGCGCTCAGCACAAAGTCCACGGTTGCCGCAGGGCGTCAAGGACAAGTATCCCCAGGGGTGGCAGGGCCACCGTGACCTCACCGCTCACCCGTCACCATGACCTTGCCACCTGCAAGGATGGGGATGCCATGTCCAGGGGATCCCCACCAGCACCCCGGGGGTGAGGGATGCAGCGGATGCTCCGTGCTTGGTGATGCTGTCAGCGCGCTTGATTCGACCCTGCTCGGATATCGACTGCGTGGCCGGGCCTGCGCGTACAGGAGGAGGACATGGTGATGGCCGGCTGGGGACAGCAGTGGGGTGGTGGTGGAGTCCAGCTGCCTGCATCCTGCCTGCGTGACCACGGGTGATGGAGACCTGGCCGGGTACAACTGGCCACGGCTCCTGACCCTACTCTGGACCCCTCTCCACGGCAGGATGAGGCCATGCGGGTGATGCTAGGTTGCCCCCCGCACAGAGAGAGGCAGGATACGGCCGAGGCGTGCGAGGGATCCCAGTAGCCACTTGATGTCAGTGTTGGCCTGATGCTCACGCTGGGGATGGGCACCAAAAATAAGCAGGAACAGGCTAGGAGAGGGGAAAAGAGCAGTTTCAGAGTTAACATCACCAGCGGGAAAAGCCGGAGGATTTTAAGGAGCGAGGAGAAATGGGCTGGTCCAGGAATGGATAAGCAGATCCATCCATCCATCCATCCTGCCATATTTTCCAGCCTTCAAAATGAATCTCATTACTGACAGTTCTTCGTTTAACAGCCCTTTCTCACATCTTTGCTTTCTGGTTTGAGAAGGTGGCTGCTCCAGAATGTCCACTCACCATGGACATCCTCTTCTTGTGCTTTATACAATCAATTAATTCATAAAATTCATTAATTAATCGTTAGCACTCTCACCCAGGCATCCATGGCTTGTGTCATCAAGTTTTCCCTGTCTGCCCAGAGAAGCTCCTGGCAAAGCTGGGATGGGTTTTCCAGGTGATCCCCCGATTCCAAACCTGCTCATTTTCCCCATAGGGTGCACCCTGGGACACCCCCTCCCCCCCCAACACTCTCAGCCACCTGTGTAGCCCCTCTAGCCTTTGGGTTGAGTCAAGGTCCCCTTTGTGCAGAGAACTAGGCAGATTTAGCTATCTGCTTTTTTGTAGGACCTGCAATAAACGGTGCTACCACAGGGTTCAGCTAGTGGACCTTGACACTGTGTGACAGAGTGGCTTATTGGGATGGGGTCACCGGCTGAGTCTGGGATCTGTCTGTGATCCCAGTGTGCCTGAGGGGTGGGTTCACAGCCCCTGCTCCCCATCACCCGGGGAGAGGACAGAGTCTCTTTTCCATATCACCTGCGGGGGTGTCCTGGGGGATGGGTGCTGGGAGCATGGTGTGGGGTGCTGGGGTGCCAAGTGCTGGGAGCTGGATGATATGATTGATGGGTGCTGGGGTGCTAAGTGTTAGGAGCTGGAGATCTGGGTGTTGGGTGCTGGGAACTGAATGGTCAGACTGTGGGAAGTGAGTGGGAAACCCAAGATGGTGGTGGGGGATGTTCCACATCAGCTTCGGCTTCAAGAGAGAAGGAGAGCAAAGCAAACAACATGGGGCAACAGGGGGGTGCCAGGCTGTGCTTTGGGGTGCCCTGGGGACAGCACACGGATGTGAGGGCACCCAAGGGCTCCCAACAACAGTGTTTAAGCAGGGCAGGCAGCACCAGTGCCATGAGGGGCCTGGCTGCCAGCAGGGCTGGGGTGGGGAGGGCTCTCTGCAGAGATCAACCAACAGCATTGAGCTCCCCTTGCTCCACCCATGCTCCAGCCACTGGAGGCTTTGCTCAAGCTCAGGCAGGTCCCAACAAGCAGCTCATGCCCCATCCAGGGCAGTGCTATCCCGAGGCTTTGGTGTGATAAACCCCCATTCCACTGCAAATCCAGACCCAAAATTGCTCTGGAAGGAGAAAGCCCCCTCATCACTGGTTTAAATTCAGCCCCCTGCAAAGTCTGCCCAGAGGCTTGTGGCAAACCCAGCCAGGTCTGCCGTCCTGCAGAGGCCAATTTTGCGTGATTGGGGTTGTACAAATATCCAGTGTCCTCCCAAAATACTTCTGAGAGAAGTGTGGAAAGGGCCAGAGCACCCAAGTTTTTAGGCAGCACGAAGGGAGGGAGGACCCAGAGATGGCAGACAGGGTGATAGCTGTGCCCAAACCTCAGCTGTGCTCAGCTGCACAACCCAGGGTGTGGGGAAGGCTAAAACATGGCTGGAAAAGACCGAAATCCATGAGGAAAGGAATCAGTCTGGAGCTATAAACCACAAAAACCTCTGGAATCAGCAGCTCAGGGATCAGCCTGTCACTGTTCCCCTTATCTACAGCAGGGTCATGCTGGGATGGGCAAGGGGCAAGATGTGGATCTGTCCCCCTCCTCCCCAACCACACCACAAGACTTGGACCATTTAATATCTCCCCATCTCCTTTTCCATTCAGGAACAGCCAGACCATTTCAAAAACCAACCCTATAGCAGGAAACATTCAGCGTAATTAACCCACATCGATTAACATCTTAAAGGAAAGGGTGGGGGAAGAAGAGTTTTGATTTTGGGGTTTAAAGGCGAGGAAAAAAAAACCCTTTGTCTGATTCCCTGCACTGTTCTTCCCAAATCACACTGGGACACGGCCTGGGCCCTGTCTGCCCCACACTTCCCTCCAAGAAAGGAAAATCCAAGACATCTGCCTTCATATAGAAAACCTTTTTTATTTTTTTAGCCTTTATGCAAAATTTAGTGCTTACTTTTGCCTTTTATGTGTCCTGATCCCCTAAATTATTCCCTTATGTACTTGCAGCCTGAGCACCACCACAGTACAGTCATTGAGTCTGCCTGTGCGGAGCGTTACCAGCACCAGAGGGAAGAACAGAGGCTTTGGGAAACATCCGTGCTGAACACTCGGAAAAGATAATCAGCTTCTCTCTTGGGTCACTCCTCTCCTTGAGATCCAAGATGGAGCCAAGGCTCAACCTGGAAGGAGGCGGCAGAAGAGCTGGAAATGGGCAGACACAACCTGGGGTTTCTCTCCAAGTTCTCACCAAGTTTCACCCCCGAGGTAGCTCAGCTCTCGCCGTGGCAGAGGCCACGCTCCCCACGGGGATCCGTGCCTGCCAGCTGCCATCCGGGAACGGCTCTGGAAGAGGAGAAAGGCATTAAAGAGTTAAGCGCCAGATGGCTGAAGCACCAGGCCGCGTTTAGAGCTGGGCACTCCCATGAAAACCGGGACCCCTACTCTGAAGCCGGGACACGCCCCGGTTGGAGCTGGGATTCCCCCAGCTTCGAGCCGGGCACCCTGCTGGAACCACCCCATTCCTCCCGCCGCAGCCAGGCCTCTCCGTCCTGTGCCACCAGCAGGCCGGGCAGCACCAGAGCCGGGTTTCGCTGTCTCCTCCCGGTTCCGGCGGGCCCTGACCGCCCAACCGAGGGCTCAGGGGAGCCCGGGAAGGGCCTGCGAGAGGCAGAAGCCCGCCCCACCGCGGCCGAGGCCCCGGTACCGTGTCCGTGGGCCCGGGGGTGATCGGCCCCTCGCTGCCACCGGGCGGCCCCGTCCCGCTCGTCGCCATGGCAACGCGCCGCGCCCGGCCGTGTCCTTCCCCGTGTGTGGTCCCTGGGGATCATGGGAGAACGAGTCCACGGCCTCACAGGCCCTGCCGCCCCTCTGCGGAACTGGACTACAAAATCCATAATCCCCGCCGGAGGCGGCGCGCCCCTCCTCTTTCTCTACAACGCTCGTTTCCATTGGCCTCCTCCAAGTCGTTCAGTCGCGTCACGGCGGCATCTGATTGGCAGAAAGGTTGCAGCGAGGAGGCTCTGGCTATGGCGGCCGAGCGGGCGGTGGGGAGGCGGCGGCCGCCATTTTGTGTGTGGAGGCAGGCTCCGGGCCTTGCTGCCGCCGGGGCGTGGGTGACGCGGCGCGGTGGGGCAGGGGAGTGGCTGGGGACCGGCGGGGGGCTCCTCCTCGCTGCCGAGCCAGGAGAGCGGCGCAGCCCGGACGGGCGTCCGTTTGCTGGAAGCGCAGCTCGGGTCTCCCCGCTGGCCCTGAGGTGGACGGTGGCGCCGCGGCTTCCCCAGGCTGTTCCCCCTGTCAGGGCTCCGGGAACGGGGAGAGCCCGTCCCCTACGAGAACGCCGCGTCTGCATCTGGGCTCGGACCGGAGTCTCAGTGCGCGGTGGTGCGGGGGAAGGCCCAGGCAGCCTCTCCCTGCACCGGGCTCCGGCGGTTCTCAGGTCGTGGGTCCGCTCGGCAGCGGTGCCTTGGCCCCAGTCTCGCCGGTAACGCTGGGGCGGGGGACTGAGCGTGGATGTTCTAGGAAAGCTGTCGTTAAAACGGTATTCGAGCGTTGCTGGACAGCAGCACTCGAGCTCCCTGCGGGGCTGGGCTCTGACTGACCGCCGATGTGCGCAAACAGCGCAGTTTCATGTTGGAAGTGGGATTTGGCTTAGAAATTGTGATTCCCGGAAGGAGGAAAGCCTCACGTTCCACTGTGCCACCTCACAACACAGCTCTTAATACGCCATTGGGGGGGGGGGGGAATAATCTCTCGAGTTTAATCCTTTGTGCCACGTGTTTTAGCCAAAGCACAACCAGATTCCCAGAGGGATTCCTGGAGGGAGCTCTCCCTGTGGGGATCCAGTGAATCAAAGTTAACATGGCCTCCCCTTGCTGCTGCTTCCGAAGCAGCAGCTCCTGCTGCAGCACTTGGGAGAGATTTAAACACAAAAGCAGTTGCCTGTTGCCGGGGCCGAAGAGGTAACTTTGCGAGCTGATTATAAACCGGAGTGAACCGGGGTTGTAAACGCCACTCCTTGGGGCTGTGGAAACAACTGGGTGGGTTTTCCCTGTGCAAAGTCACAGGCTGGTTTTCTTCACACTTCCCCAACCCCCCGACCAACCAACCACCCCTCAGTACTGAGTAGTAGTGCGTGAGCTGCCCGTCCCCTCCAGGCCCAGCTCCCTTGGAGATAGCCTAGGCTGAGTCCCCGGTTGTGGCATCAGCAGAGTTTCCTTCAGTGAGGGGCTCAGCCATGGCTCCTTCCCTATGCAAAAGGCAGATGATGTCAGCTCATCCCCTGGCATTAAGGAAATGTGATTTAGATGGGAAGCAGTGAGATTTTGGAGGCTTTCTGGCAGAAGTGAGGATTGCGCTGTCAAATGGGGACTCTTGGAGTTAAAAACCAGATGATTTTATATCTCTGCAGTTGGTGGGTTGGTTTTATTAGAAGAAGGTGTTTCGTTATTGTGACTCTTTGGATCATTTTTGACTCCCATGTCACTTTATGAGGTCTTGAACCCCAAAACTTCATCTTTCAATGAACTGCTGTGTTTCCAAAGCAGGGGGGTTCGTGTGGTGTGTGTCTTTGCAGGCTTACGACAGCTGAAGATCTAATTTCAAGCTGATTTTGCCAAACGAGTGGGGGTTACACTCAGTTCAGGCTGTGTGCCTTGCACCTCCCTGCATTGTTAGAGGGGGGTTTGGAGGATGGGAGCTGGAGGGGCTGATCCTAACACTAGGGTTTGGTGTGTTTCAGATGGACTGACAACCACCAGGTTTTCGGTGCTGGCCTCACCAGCAAGCGCTGTGAAACCTCTTCCACTGCAGAAACAGGGCTGCATGTCCTCCTTTTTTAACAAAATCCTGCTTCTCTTGTGGCACAAGAGACTCGCCAGGACATCCTGAGAGCTGTGTGAATATATCCTCGGAACAGAAAGCTAAGGAATGAAGTGCAGTTAGTGCAAGTGCAGTCTCAGGCAGGACAAGAGGGTTACTGGCAGCACCATATTCCTGCTTTATAAAACCTGGCTCATCAAACAGGTTTAACGGACCTGGGGACTAATTGCCATGCTGGAAACTTGCTCCTTGAAACCTTTTCAGACCTGGAGGGACAGCAGCATTGAGGGGGAGGATTCTGATTTCACACCAGCATTGTGACATGAAGCTGTTAAGTTGAACTGGTTCCTTTTTTTCTTTATGTCCTTGCAGCAAGCAGCATTTTCAAGGAACTGGTGTGTCCTTGCATCAGTTTGCCCCTGTGCTGTGGAGGAATGGCCATAACCACAGGTGGGATGGTTTTTCTTTTGAGTTCGTGCCATAATCCCAGGACAGAAATGCTGTCCTTTCCTCCAGGAAACCCTTGGGAAGGGAGGAACTTTGAAAGCCCTTTAGGCAAGAGGGTCACTCCATTCCCCATGTTTCTGAGGCTGATTGCCACAAAGCTGCCTCAGCAGTGAGCCTCTTCCTGCCACTCAGCCTCCAAGTCAAGCTCCAGCAGGCAGATTCCTGCTGCCAGGGGCCTGTTTGGGGGGTTCTACCATGCCAGCAGCACTCCTGAGCTCACCAAAGGAGCCAGAGTAAGGGCCAGTTGGCTCAAACAAGCCAGGGAAGACCAAAGTGGTGGCAGGAATGTGCTTCAAAGGCTTGGCAGGCATGGCTGCTTGCCCTCCAGCGAGGTACTTGCCCTCGACTAGTTAAGGCAGTGCTGCCTCCATGTCAGGAGGGACTAATTGCTGCCCGTGCTCCCACATCACAGCAGAGCGGCACCCTGCTCTCTGGCGAGCTCCAGGATTTGATTTGTTCCTCTGAACCAGTGGACCTCATATCCTCCAGCATAGCTCTCAAGCCAGCTCCAGGGCCCATGGGCAGGCTGTGGAGTGGGAGCTCACCCCTCAGCCTGCAAGGTGGAGCACAGATGAGCTCCTCAGCTGTTACTGATCCACACGGAGGTTTCAAAGGTCCCTGGACGCCACCAGTGTCTGCCAGGGGGTTTGGACACAGGAGCTGGAAGGTGCCTCTGCAAGGAGACATGTTCTGAAACACCTCTGGACGTAGGAATCTGGGTAGCCTGCTTTGAATGAAGACTTAGTTTCATTTAAACTGCACGGAATAAAGCAGGATAAGTTGGTAGAGTTAAAGCAGGATAAGTTGGTAGAGTCAAAGCAGGGGGAGAGCTGATCACTGTGATACTTCTAGAGCTTCTATGTCCCATGTGTTCAATAAGGATTTATTCCTAGGAGTTAAATGTAACCAGGTTGGGGTTACATTTACATGAAGGGTGGACCCTGTGTCTGTGCTCAGTGTGACAACACCATCATGCCTGGTTTGGGTTAGAAGGGAGCTTAAAGCTTCTCCAGTTCCAACCCCCTGCCACAGGCTGGGACAGCTTCCACTAGCCCACGTTGCTCAAGGCTCGTCCAGCCTCACTGTGTAACAACCATCATGCTTGATTTCGCTAATACTTCCTTGCATTTTCTCACATTATCCAGGTGCCAAGAGCTGCATTTGATGGCGTGACACGTAGCACCCACCGCCAGTGCCATCTGCCATGCGCCTTCAGTTCTCCTGCCCCAGAAGCAAATCACAGGCAGCTGATCCAGAGTGGGAATCACTCCTTGGTGGGGAAGGAATTGCGGGAGAGAGGCACCCGCGATGAGCAGGAGGACTCGGGTCTGGTGCTGCTCTTCCTTGGTGCTGAGATCCCCATTAACTGCCTGTGGGCCAGGCTCAGTGCTGACAGCTGCTCCAGTCTCTGCTGGATGATGTCATGGCACAGGGGAAGGCAGCATGGGCACTACTGGGCACTGCAGGGCACTACTCCTGAGCAAGTCACTGTCCAGTAGTTTCCCTTCTTCCTCTCCATGGATGCCCCAGAGCATACAGGGGTGTGCCACACTGTTGTTAAATCTGGCCTGATCCTTAAAGCCCTTCGGTGCTGCCACTTTAACTCCTGGTGCTGCAACCCCCCTGCACTGGTGACACCTTTTTCTCCTAATCTTAACTCCTCCATTTTTGTATAAAAGGCCGTTTTTCCCCTGCTGTAGCCTGGGGGGGGGGGGGGGGGGCGGTAAAAGCACCCCCCTGCTCCCCAGTTCCAGTAATGAATACTCATTTCAATCCCAATGGCCTCAGTTTACACCACAGCCCAAAGCAGAACAGGATCACACCATTACTTTACCCTTGAATTCAGCTGTTTTCTCCCCAAAACCCCTCTCCAGACCATGCAGCTGCCTGGAGCTTCTCCAGCTTTTTCCTCTCCTGCCCCTGTCAAGCACAGCCACAGGGAAGAAGGTTGAGCCTCACATTTGCCTTCCCCACTCCCTCCTCATCAGCCATTCCAGAGGCCACACACTGACTCCCAAAACTTTTCCCTGGGCTGCTCCAAAACTTCCACCTCACTTGGAGGTGAAAGTACATTTTGGGGCAGTTTTTGCCCAGCTGTCACTGACCTGACCCAGGTTTTTACCACCCTGAAAGGAAGCTCACTTTGAGGAAGCCTTGAAGTGAACATGCACTTCAACTCACAGAGGTGGACGCAGGTTTGCGGCACACACATGTTCAGGACTGTTTATCCCTCCTCCAGGTGCTTTTACTTATTTCAGCTCCTCAAACAAGATCAGAACCAAAGGGTAACCACCAAAAAGCTGAACAGGCCATTCCAGCTTCCCTTAACCCAACACCCAACAGAACAGCGTGGAAATAATTCCAAGTGTATGCCTTACCAGAATGCCACCAAACGTTCCCAAGAAATCACAGCAAACCCGTTACAGTTACAAGTAATTAAATTTATTAGACCTATATTTTTATAGTCAGTTTGGGCCAATTTACAGCTTTCCTGGAGAGAGTTTTTTTTTTTTTCTTCCCCACTTTTTGGTTTAGACACACACGCACACAAAAAGAAAAAAATAATAAACCCGAAACCACCAACACATCAACACCCCCTCCCCCCCGCCCGGCGCTCGGGGCCGGGCACGGTCACTCCCCCGGCTTGCAGGGGCCCTTCTCAGCGCGGAGCGCGTCCCGCTCCCGTTGCAGCCGCAGGTTTTCGGTTCTCAATCTGTCCACCTCCAGCTCCAGCTGCCGCACCCGCGCCGCCTCCGCCGCCTCCCCCCCGTGTTTTTTGCTTTCCATCCTTAGCCGGTTGTTCTCCTCTTCCATACGGGAAAGGCATTTCTCCAGCTCCAGGTATTCTTTCACCAGCTCCTGCTTGCTCATATTCTGCAGGCTCTCCACATGGTACCGCTCGTACGTCTCCGAGAAGTCCCTCTGCAGAAACTCGCTGCCGTCACCCCCCATCCCGTCGCTTCCCCCGTCCTCGTCAGCCGCCTCCTCCAGGAAATCCTCCTCGCTCGTGTCGTCCGCCTTGGCGGCCGCACGCCGCGGGTACAGCCCCGTTTTCAGATCGGGTTCCTCCTGGTCGTGGTCCTCCATCAGGAACTGCGTCGTGTTGTAGGGAGCCACCGGCTGCCCCTTGGCGAACATCTCAGCGCGCAGCCGGGAAGCGCGGAGGCTCTGCCGCTCGTCGAACTGCTGCTTCTCCTCCCAGCTCAACTTCGAATACGGCTTCCAGCGACGCTTCTTCTTCGACGGCCGCCGCCGGTGTTTCTTCTTCACCGGCCACTCCTCAGCTCGGCCCACCGCCGCCCGGTACCGCGGGCCCAGGCCAGGACGCGCCACTCCACCCGCCGCCGGCCCCTCCGCGCCTCCCGCTGCCGCCTCTTCCGCCCCGGGGGGCGGCAGCCGCTCGGCCTCGCCATCCTCCCCGCCGCCGCGTTGTGGCTCCGGCCGCAACTCGGGCTCGGAGCTGGGTTCCGGCTCGCCCTGGGGTTGCGGCTCGACCTCGGCAGGCACCGGCTCGGCGGCCACAGTGTTAGCCATCGCGCTCCGCTCCCTCGGGGACGGGCGCTACTCGAGCCACATGGGGCTGCCCCCCCCGGGCTCAGGCCGCCTGGGCCATGGCACGGGGCAGAGCCCCCAAGGATCGCCGCCGCCGGAGGCGGTCACCGGTCACGCAGGAGTTAACGCCGCTGGGCCCGCCCTCCCGCGCGCATGGCACGCGCCGCCGCCGCCGCCCCCCCTCCCCCCAACCACCGCTCTGCCGCTACCACCCGCCACAACCGCCGCCAGCGCCCGACTGGGCCCCCCCTCCCGCAGCCCCGCCTTAAATAGCCGCACGCGCCCCGCGCAGGCGCATTGCTTGCCCCGCCTCCGCTGCACGCCGGAGCCCTGCCCCCGCCGTGCGCCCGCCTCATCCACTAAGGGACCCCGCCACGGGGGCGGTGCCACTCGGAGCCAATCAGAGGGGGAGGAGGGCGGGCACAACGGCGGGGCCACACCCCCATGGCCTCTGCAGGAGGGGGACTGCGATTGGACTCGCTGGATGTCTCTCGCGAGCGGCTCCGCCAGTCCGAGCAGGGGGAGGGCGGGCCCGGGCCGTACCACGCGCGGAGGGGCGCTCCTGCGACCTTCAGGGCCGCGCCGAGGGCACCGTCCCCCTACCCCGCGGCGAGTCCGTGCGGCGGCCCGAAAGGAGTCCCGGCTCCGCGGAGGGGGCGCGGGGCCGTGCTGGGGCCTTCAGGGTCTGTGATAGCAGTGAGGGACCCGTGAGATCCGGAGGAGACGGGAGGCCGGAGGGGTGCGGCGGGGTGGGGAAAGCGGATGGATCCCTGTGCCGCGAGTGGGAGATGTAAACAAACGGCAAGAAAATAAGTCCCTCCTTAAAGGCACCGCGTCCCTTTTTTTGTTCAGGGGTGGTGCAGAGCTGCTCTCCCGGGTCATGGACCGACCGGCGGGGGGGGGGGGGGGGAGGCGGTGCTGCGAGGGCCGGCATCGGGATCGGGTCCCGGTTCTGCCACGCCTCCACGATGACGATGTGCACCCAACACGGCCCCTGGGGCTCCACGGACAGGGTGGCGTTTTGGGGATGCGTGGCTGGGGAAGGGGACCCAGGGCTGTGGGGACACTGGGGAAAACGAGGGTCAGCCGAGATAGAGACCTGCGACTGCAGTGGGCAGTACACGGGAGTCCATGGCCAAGGCGTGGGGGGCAGCACAATGAGGGGGTTCCTCTGCCCGTCCCGCCACATCGGCTGGGACCCCCCAGCAGTGGCAAAAGGCTCGCGGGCAGCAGCGAGCGAGCACCACCGATGGCACTGCCGGCACGAGGGGAGTACCACAGGTCCCCAGCACACCCTATACACCGCGGGCACAAGCTGCCCTCTGCCCCTCCGGGACCAGGAGAGGGGGAGTCCCCGGGCTGCAGGGTCCGGGACAGAGGCTGGTGCCGGTACCGGAGACGTCAGCCCTGGAGGAGAGGCCGGGGCCGGGCAGTGAGGGGCCAGGCAGCTGCGCTGTGCGCCTGCCCAGGGCCCGGTGGCACCCACCTCTCCCCGCAGCAGGGCAGCAGGCACCAGGGCTGAACTGAACAAGCAGCTTTAATTGAGGCAGGTTCAAATGTCCAAGCACTTCATGGAACCAGTCTCTGGGGACGGGGTAAGGGGCCATCCCCCTGATGCCCACCCAGCGCCACGGCTAAGGTCCGGTAGGCAGTCGGACAGTCTGTGTGCAGCAATGATGAGATCCCGGGGGATCCCACCTGAGGCACGTTATGATCCCACACCCCACTCCCTGTGGATGCCGGTGCCGGCAGTGCTGGTGAGGCCCTGAGCGTGACAGTTGGGATTGGTGGAGCACAGTGGCTGCTGTCCCTCGGGGGCAGGGTCCCAGCCTGCAGGCGGCCCGGGGCTGTGCCAGGCGATGCCTTTACCGATTGCGTGGTGCTTCCCTGGCTCAGCAAAGCAGGATGAGGAGGGAGGGTGCTGGCACCCCGGCAGGGCTGTCCTGCACCCCACTCGGGGCCAGTGATGGCAGTGGGAATACAATGGTCACCTCTTCCTGTCCTGCCAGCGGTGCAGCAGCCACTGGGTGACGAAGGGCCAGGTGACGAGGAAGAGTAGGGTGTGTGGGGAAACGGTCAGGGGCCACGGGGATGGTGCCTGGCGAGGGGACAGAGAGAGGCAGGGTGGAAAGGGAGGCAAAGGTGTCACCAAACATCTCCCAGCCCTCTGCCAAAAGGCAGGTGATAGCAGGCCCCTGGCACTGCCTGGCCCTCCTTGTCACATCCATTCCCCTGTGCACATCTGGCACTAACACGATTGGCCCCAGTGCCCAGGCACTGGGGACATGTCCCCAGGGATGTCACCTGCTCCCCAGCTGATGGACCCTTCCCTGACCTGTCCCCCCCATCGCATCCCCTACCTCCAACTCACCTGCAAAGCAAGCAGCTGTCTGGGCTCAGTCCCAGCTGCATCCCCCTGCAAGACAAGTGATGGTTTAGGGGGGGCAGGTGAGGCTGAGAACCCCCTTCCAGCCCCAACATGAGAGGTGGGAACAGGCCAAAGCCAGTCCACTCTGGGCTGCTACAAGGGACCTGATGGTGCAGCTAGGCTGGGACCCCAGGGACAATGGAAATGATGGGGGCAGTTGTTCGCTGCCTGTACCTTGGGGCATATCAAGCAGCACCAGCCTCTGCCCCACCAGGTTGTGTCCCTGAAGCCTGAGGTTTAGACACTCTTGTGGCACCCAGGGCTGCCTGTTTAGGGACAGGCACCCATTTTGGCTCCACCACCCAGTGTTGGTGTGCAGCAGCTCCCCACGTGTCATGGCACGCACCTGAGAGGAGGTGAGTATCTCCAGCTCACTCAGGCGCTCCAACACTTGCTGCATGTCATCCTGCAGGGCTTGCACTGTGCTGGCCACACAGGCATCCAGCTCCACCACCAGCCTCCGGCTGAGCTCAGGGGTGCTCTCAGTGTCCTGCTTCCCCCCAGCCAGACAGAGACCTGTGGGGTACAGACAGGCACTGCTCAGCGGTGGTGGGGCAGGGACAGTGTGTGCAGGCTGAGCGCCCCTAGGACCCCCAGGCACATGCTGTGTGCCATCACCCAACATAAGCAACAGATAATAGAATTACAGATTGGTTTGGGTTGAAGGGACCTTAGGATCATCCATTTCCAACCCCCTGCCATGGGCAGGGACACCTCACACTAGACCATGTTGACCAAGGCCCTGTCCAACTTGGCCTTGGACACTGCTAGGATCATGTCAGGCTGCCTGCACGCTGCCAGGCAGACAGAGCAGACAGCTCCCAGCCCAGCCCTGCTGTGCACATCCCCATCTACCAGTCAGCTCTAGGCCTGTCCCCAGGCCATCATGTCCCCCTCAGTGTGGTGGTGGTGGCAGCAGGTGATCTCCAGCCCAGTGGTGCATGTGGGCCATGCTTCACCCAGCGAAGGCAGGATGCCAAATGCTGCATTGCTGCCTCCCTGCCAGGCTCCAAACCAGCCTGGCTGCACTCTGGCAAACACCCGATAACCCATGCTATGAGCAGGACACCAGCAGGGGCTTGTGCCAGCCCCACACAAACACCAGCACCCCAGGGACAGCCCAGCCTGACTCTGTCAGTCTTGGTACAAGTGAACTCCCATGGTCAAGCAGCTCAGGAGGGTCTGCACAAACATTAATGGGGGCGAGATAATGGTGAGAGGGGTGGGCTATATGCAGGTGAGGTTTCAACACCACCTCTGCTGTCCCCTGGTAAGGGTGGCAATGACGTCCTGGAGCAGAAAGACTCCAGGGTGTGTCTGGGGACAGCTGCAGAGCTTGGCAGAAGGCTCTTTGTCCCTCTCCACAGAAGTGTGTGGGACCTGGTTGTCCCCAGACATAAGCAGCAGCAGCGGGTGGCATTTGGTGAGTGGTACCAAAGGAGCAGGGTATCCCCAGGACCAGTGCTTCCAGGAATACAGCCCAACATCACCCAGTCCCATCGCAGAAAAGTTGGTGGGTGCCCACCAGGGACCACAGGCAGGAGCTGGGCACAGGCAGGCAGGGCTCTGTGCAACCTGAATGTTGCTACGGAGGAGCCAGCAGAGCATCCTCCAAAACAGCAGCACAGGGGATGTGTCCTACAGTGATAACAATAACAAACTGCTTGAAGGCCAACGGATGAAGAGACAGGATGCTCAGGACTTCTTGCAGCTACTGAACAACCCACCCCTGGGCACTGGAGCCAAGGTCTGTGCCCTGTTGGGGCCTCATTTCTCTGCTCCACCCCAAACAGCTCCTGAAGTCTGACCCTGCTGGCTGGGAGGTAGGGAGGGAGCCGTGAAGGAGCTGCACCCACCTCTCTTGGAGCCAGTGCTGCTGCTCCCCTCTAGTCTTCTGCCTTCACCCTGCTCCCCTTGCCCAGCACCGGGGGGGGTAAGGGGCTCAGGCCCAGCCTGGCCACTGTTCAGGCAGAGCACCAGAGGCTGCCCAGCCTGCACAGGGGAGAGAAGAGCCCTGAGCCTCCCATTCCCCTCTCTGGGGGCTACGGGGCACAGAAATTGATGCCAGGGCAGTGGTGGTACCTCCCACCATGCCCCATAGCAGCAGTTCTGGTGGTGAAGGGTGTGTGTGTGTGGTGTGAGTGAAGCCAAATCTCACTGGCAACACCAGTCAGTGTCTGATTTGGGAGGTGACAGAGCTCTGGAGCAGCAAATTGAGGCATCTGGGCTTCAGGTGGCACAAGCGCTCCAGGGAGAAGCCAGGCAGCTGGGCGGCTCCCTCCCTCCTGCCCACAGAATCCACTTAGCCTCCTCACAGCACCTCGAGTGCTGAATGCTGCTGGTGTTGGCCAAGCTTCCTGGTAGCAGGGAGCAAGCGGCAGGGGTGCAAGCAAGGTGCAAGGTGCCCACACCAGCCTTGCTTGTGGTTACTGCCCTCAGTCAGCCCTAGCAGTCCACCAGTGCCACACTGGAGCCTCACTGCAGGAACAAGGGTTGCTGTGAGTGGTGCTGGGTCACACTGATGGCTCCTCAACCTCCCCTCAGTGATAGAGATGAGGTTTCAAGAGGGGCACAAAGCACAGAGGGAGCAGTCATGTGGCCCCATAGGTTTTGGGAGTCTCACAAGCCCTGCAGGATGGAGGTGCCAAGCAGTGGCATGGCAGTGGCATGGCAGTGGGCAGAGGTGGGGGAGCAGACAACAGAGATCTGCCTGTGGAGTACAGGCAGGGCAGGGCAGGGAGCAGAGGTTGTGCTGGACTCCAGCGCTTCCCAGCTCTCCATTACCTGCTCAGACTCCATCTGCTCCACGGTATCGCAGTACACATCACCCTCAGAGTCACTGGTCGCCTGGGTGCCCTCCAGTGCGGTGGCAGGAGCCAGCACCCCTCCTGGAAGGGAAGCACATGGCTCAGATGAGGGCACAGCAGTGGTTTGGCTGTGTCCAAAGGGCAGCTGAAGCTCAGTGCAGCCGCAAGGCAACAGGTCCACAAGCAGGCAAGAGGGCAGCATCTGCATGCACAAGGTGAGGCAGGAGCATGACACTGAGGCAGAGGAGGAAGGAACTGCCTCTGTTACTACCACCTGGATCATGGCCATGACTCCAAGGACCCAATTCTCCCTCCTCCTGCCCACGGTGTCTCAGAGCCCTGCTTGTGGCACGCACATCCCAACACAGTGTCACTTTAGGGTGGGCTCCTCTGCCCACATGTGGCTCCTGCCTTGGGAAAGGGCTGCCAAAACCCTGGCACAAGGGTGAGCCCATCCAGCAGGATCCAGGGCCCTGGCTGCTCTGGCAGGGAGCAGGTACCATTCCCACATCCCCTCTGGGAACCTGGACCTTCCAGGGCAACATTTTCCCAGTCCATGGGGAAACACCCTTGCCTTCTCACTGGAGCTTAGCAGAATCAGGCCCCTCTACACAGGTAAGAGCAATACAGAGTCAAACCAACATGCCCAGGGTTACCCCGGCAACAAGAACAACACCAAGAGCAGGACCTATGAACACCTCCAGCTCGCTGTGACTTGAGTAATGCCTGAAACACTGGTGGTGTTGGACCAGAGGAGCATGAAGCCAAGACCCCTGTGGGCAGAGGGAGGCCAGTGATTTCTCGACGGGTCTCTGCTGGGTGCTTGCCACAGGGAGACCAACCTGGCGTATGCTGCTCGTTCTGCTGCTCTCTGGGCAAGGCATCTTCTTGGTGCTCTGCAGCCAGGCTGCTTGCTGGGTCATCCTGGCTGGGCTCTGCAGAGGGGAAGGGCAGAGGGGAGTTAAAGCCTTCTGGGTGACCCTTGAGCACAGGCTCTCTGTGACCCTGCCAGCATGGCTGGAGGACACATGGATGTGGGGACACCCTCCAGGCCAGGAGCCTCTGGAGACATGCAGCAGCTGGCAGAGACAGAGAGAGACTGGCTCTGTTTGCCAGCAGCCCAGAAATCAAAGTGAGCTCCAACAGTCAGCAAGGTCTACCCCATCTCACCCTGCTGTGGTCATCTGAGTCCCCACAGCAGCAGGCAGAGGGACCTGACCAACAGCTGGGTGAACACCAACAGGTGACAGCCACTGTCCTTGTCCCCTAGCAGGGCACACAGCACACCACGGTAAAAGAGTTTAACACAAGAAGCTTTGGCACATGCCACCATCAAGGGCTTCCAGCAGGCAGCAGTACCAGCTTCTGCCTAGGGCAACTCCCTGCCTGGGATCCAGCTCTCCCTTCCCACCTTAAGCCCAGCCCCATTTCCACACCCAGGACTTTGCTGCCTGCTCCGGGCCAGGCAGGTACCTGGTAATGCTGCTCTGCCTGCACATCTCCACTATTCTCAACCTGCCATTCCCATCACATCAGGCCTGTGCCCGAGGGACTCTCCTAAGAGCCCAGCCCAGGCAAGGAGCCCCTCAGGGAACATGGGCAGCTCCCACTCAGCAGAGGACTTAGGACCACGGCTGCTCAGCTCAGGGACTGTCTCTGTTCCCAAATTCCTCCTTAGTGTGCACTGGGATCCACAGACGTGGGTGGCTGCAGGCGTGGTCCCATCACCTCACACATCACTGCCAGGAGGAGCCTGGCTCTAGCACCAGCACCCTATGCCCACAGGGCTGATGGAAAAGCACTAGGCCCGTGTGTGATAGGCCTCATCACTGATTCCCAGCTGCCTGAGTCCTGGCCTATGTATAACAAGACACTGGTAAATGCTCTGCTGACTGGAGAGCCATTAGGACCCTGAACCACTCGTAATTTGGCTTCCAAGTGCCACTTCATGGCTTGTGGACTTTGTAACTAAACAAAACCAAACCTGCTCAGACTCCCAGTGTACAGCACCTCTGTCTCTCAAAAGTTCTGCAGCTGCTGAGGGCCCCTGCTCTGCTGTCACCTGTTGCAGTGTCTAAAATCTCCTTTCTCCTCTAGATTATAGGTAACAAAAGCTGCAACCATACAAAGTCATGAGGTGAGTTTGAGAACCTTTAACACCAATCACTCAACAGCTTAAGAAGTTCAGTGGTTTAAACCACCATTACAGGCTCCTCCAGCTCATTGGCTCCACAGATGCTACCAGCTTTAAGTTTAAGCAATAGTGTTATTTATAAGTGACACTGGGAGAGGATGACACTCCCAAGTGGGTAACGACCAGGAGTTAAGACAGAGGTTTTAGATTCCAGAGAAAAAAGTAAGACTGTTTGCCTTTTAAAAGGATTCAGCATCAAAATAGAGAACAAAAGCACCTGGGTACCACAGGAAGGAGCAGCCACCCTAAGGCCAAGCCTTACAGCATCCCTGTTGGATGCAGGGGGTAGCACTAGCTGTCAGACACACAAGAGATGCCTGGGGAGAGGCAAGGAGCGAGTGTAGTTGTCAGCACTCTTCCAACATTAGCAAAGCACTGACAGTTTACACACCAACTGCAAATATACCCTGAAAGCTCATCTGCTGCTGAGCTCATCTACTGGAGATGGGGCACAGCCAAACCCTGAGGCATGTGACCAGTAGGTTCACTCCATGGTAGCCAACACCATTCTGAAACACCACATCCAGCCCTTCGCTCCCTTGGGTGCTTCTCACAAATCAGATACACTGAGGACTGCCGCACTCCAAGGGTTGGACAGGTCCCCAGACACCTCCCAGCATGAGGCAGCTGGCACAGGCATGGAAATTGCTGGGAAGGACTCTTCTGTAGGACAAGGCAGCCCCAGCAGTCCTGTTTCTCAACCCCAGTTTCTCCACATCCCCTCTGCTGCTAAAACCGGCTGGCCTATTTAAGTGTTTACATCAGATGACCAGACGCCCTGTACACAGCCCACCCTACCTGGAGGTGGGCCAGTGCCAAGAGAAAGCACAGCCTCCCTGCTGCAATGCTTCGTGGGAGCTGATCCCCTGCACTGCTGCGTACAGAGACTGTACAATGCTAAGGGGCATTTGGAAGCCAGATCTTAAGTTGTCGCCTCAAAGTTTTGTGGAGAGAAAGCCCAGACTGAAGAGACCATGTCACTTGAAAAGCCACGTGGTTGGTGGTGACCAAATAAGCACCTCAGGAGCAGTTGTGCCACAGCAGGGGAGTCAATGGGACGTGGCACATCCATCCTGTGTCCCCCTCAAGGAACAGGATGAGCACAGCCCAGAGGTGATGGCCATATCGGTGCAGAAGCAGTGAACAGCAGGAGCAATGTGCCACGAGAGGAGTATGGCACAGAGGTGAAGGATGTGCTGGAATCAAGCGGGGCACAGTGGCTCCCACTCACCCCCTTTCCTCTTGAAGAAGGCCTCAGGGGGCCGGGGCATGTCATGGATCACCTCATAGAGCGGCTCGAAGTACCTGAACATCTCCTCTGTTGTCTCATCCATAGGAACTGTATCAATGACCTGGGGAGAGGCAGACGCAGCTTGGAACGGGCACCCCTGAGCACCCAACCCCAGCCACTATATCCCCCTCCCTGTTACCTTCTGGGCCACCTTCTTCATCTCAACCACGTAAGCCTCCATTGCCTCCTCTTTGGACATCCTCCCCAGGCTGTTCCAGGCATCCCTGCGGAGCAACAGCGGCCGTGAGACAGGGAGGAGCGGGCAGAGCCGCGTCCGAACCGGGACACGCCCTAGCGCCGTTGGCCTTACCACTTGTACCGGCCGATGGGGTCCCAGAAGCCGGGCCTCGGGCCCTCGCAGCGCCCCGCCGTCGCCTGCTTGTAGTAGCTGTAGAAACGCAGCATCTCCTCGTAGGAGGGTCGGTACGAGCCTGCGACGCGACACGGCCTCAGCAGAGCCGGGAGTGGGCTCCAGGGTTGGGGCTGCTGCAGCTGCTGCTCCCCTGTCCCAGCCCCGTTACCGGCCCCTACTCACCGCTCCGGGGGAGCCCTTGGATAACCTGAACGGCGGCGAGGAACTGCGCCCGGCAGCCAGCGTCTTCCATGGCGCCGGCACCGCTACAGGCCCCGTGTGTGTACCTTCTCCGTGAGGGGAGAGCACGGGAGCCAATCAGCCCCTGCCTTCCATCGGCCCGCTCCGCGTTGCTACCAATCAACGCGCCGCTTCCGAAACGGGCCGCTCTGCCCCTTTCCTTCTCCTTCCCTCCCGGCTCACAGAGGCCAGTGATGCGCCCGCACCCCCTGCTGGATGGATGGCGAACGTGCCGCTGACCGGGGAGAGAGGGCCGGGTCCGCCGCGGCGCCCCCTGGCGGGCTTCGTTAAGAGCTGCAGCGTAGCGGGGAGTGCGCTGAGACCGAACAGTGAGTGCACCGGGACAGCGAGTGCCCTGGGACAGCGACTGCACCGGGACAGTGAATGCACCAGAGTAGGGCACCAGGTCAGTCCATCGGAATAGTGACCCTGGGCAAAGGAGCAGTATACCGGGACAGTGGGTGCACCAGGACTGGGACAGTGCATTGGGACAAGTGAGTGTACTGAGACAGTGCACGAAGATAGTGAGTGGCACCAGGACAGCACACCAGGACAGCGCCGGGACAGTGGTGCAATGCACATGGACAGTGCACCGGTGCAGTGCTCCAGGAGAGTGCAATGAGACAGTGCACAGGGATAGTGCTCCAGTATACCGGGATAGTAAACAGTGCACTGGGACAGGATAGTGCGCCAGTGCAACAGGATAGTGAACCTGTGCACTGTTCCAGTGCACAGGGGCAGTGTAATGGGATAATGCACTGGGACAGTGCACCAAGGCAATGCACCAGGACAGTGCATAGGAACAGCACACTTCCAAACCAAAAAAATCCCATGGTTCTGTGACAATCATCCAGGAAACTGGGGCCATGCATGGGGACATTGGGACCACATGCTATAACATCAGGACAATGCATTAGGACAATGCATCAGGCACGGGGACAGTCACTGGGGCTGCATAGTGAGGATCCTGGGGGAATGCACTGGAGTACTGGACATTGCATTGGGACATGGGTGACATGGGAACCATGGGTGATCTGAGGTACGAGGTGCTCTGAGGATGTGGGATGTTATGGTGTTCCCAGGACACCACCCTAATCCAGACTCACCCAGTGCTGGATGCTGGGATGGTGATGCAAAGCATCTTTCAGCAGCCCCATGTCATGCTTCATCAACATCCCACACTCCTGTTTTCCTGCATTTGGGGGAATTTCCTTTATTCCCACATCACAAATTCCAAATCCAAGTAGGGGGACATTCCTTCCCAAACCCCCTAATTCCCATCCCATAGCCCCTGGGGCAACGTTTTCTATACATAGAGAATGACTTTAGGAACGCGGTGCAGCTGAGTGTGCTAAGTGGACCACAAAGTGATGGCGTAGGTGGACTGAAGAGAACAAACAGACGTTTCTTCTTCATGGACTGTCTAGAACAGGATGCTATGAGAGCAGAAGATGTCTTGTGATTAACCGCAATATAAACATAGGAAAATGTAGCCTGCACTATTTGATTAAGAGTGGTGATTGCTCAAGAGATAGCAGAACTTGCTAATCTAAGGCAAATGTTAGCTAGAGGCAATAGCAAGGAAGTGGTGGTTGAAAATGGTGATTGGGTGACCTTTACATGAAAGTATGTGTGGCAGTCTTTAATTGGTTATGTGCTGTAATGTCCTTGAAAGACTAAAGTATATAGTCATGTGGTGTGTGCTAAATAAACAATTCTGTACCTCCATTCTCAGAGTCTGTGTCTCCATACACCACAAATGGCACCCAAACAGGGAAATGAAGATGTGAAGAGAATTGCAGACTGAAGGTAGCTGCAGAGGCCTGGTGATGTACCCCATTTGGCTGCATGGAGGGAACAAGCTGAAGCAGAGGATCCTCGTAAGATTCATCACCAGTCGCTGGACAGCTAAGGTGAGCAGCCATGGGTAGATAGCCTGAGGTACTGATTGTAAATATGGGTCAAGGCGCAACAAAGGAGCAACACCTCCATAAAAATTTGCTTCAGTGCATTCTGCAAAGACAGGACTTGAAGGTAGCCCAGCTAGACTTAGTTAGACTATTGATCTGGATCAGAGATCATTGCCCCTGGTTTCCACCAACCAGCTCTTATGATTTGACTCTGTTGCAGTGAGTGGGAGAAGAGTTGCAGACAGCCCAGACAGCGAAGCCTGACTCCTTAATCGGACATCTACTGACTTGGCACTTGGTTTATTCAGCCTTGTGAGCTTTGCAGCCAGCGGAGCAGGTGTTGCAGAATGCGTCAGGTTCTAAGCCTGATACGGCAGAAGTGGCAGAGGGGCTGCAGTCTTTTGAACTGCTTGGCCCTGACGCAGGCCCAGCTTCCCCACTGGTGGAAAATTCTGATGAATCGTAGGATCCCTTTGATCCTGGACTGATTGACCCAGGGACAGAACCTGATGTATCACAGTATCACAGTATGTTAGAGATTGGAAGGGACCTCAAAAGATCACCTAGTCCAGTCCCCCTGCCGGAGCAGGAGCACCTAGATAAGGTTACACAGGAACGTGTCCAGGCGGGTTCTGAATGTTTCCAGAGAAGGAGACTCCACAACCTTCCTGGGATACCCACCACTGACACCTGTGAAAGTTTTGGCTGCTATGGCCCCCACTGCTGATGAAATCCTGCAACAGCAATGTAAATGCTTGTCCCAGTCCTCCGTGGCACGACCACCGCCAGCTGCCCCTCTGCTGTAATGGGAAAAGGAACATGGTGCTGGTCTCTTGAACAAATGTAGAGAGGAGGCATTACAGCACGGTGAACTGCAGCTTCTGCAAGCCATGCCAGCCATCTGCAGACCCAATCAAATTCCTGAGTTTGGACACTGGTGATGTGGTGAAAGAAGTGCAGAAATCTGTGAAAGAATATGGTTTGCAAGAATCTTGATGAATTTGCTGCAAGCCATAGGAGAATTGTACACCGTGACTTCCTTAGACTGGAAATCTCTTCCGCGCCTTGTACTGTCGGCAGCACAATACTCAGTATAGCCAACTGAATATCATGATTGGGTAGTAGCACAATCAATGGATAATCTAAAGAATGGTGTGGCATTTGGGCAGGCAAAGTTGTTGGGGGAGCGCCAGTATGCAACAGGGGCAGCTCAAGTGGCTTTAAACCGTGATGTTTTTAGCCAAGCAGCAGATCTTGCCATTGGGGTGCTCCGTAGGCTGCCAGATCTGAGTGAAAGGGAGATCTTTTTTGCAACAGTCCAACAAGGGGCACAAGAACCCTATGTGCAATTCTTTTGATTGGTTGCAAACAGCCATACAGTGGCAGATTGATTCCCCTGAGGCAGCCAACTTGTTATTTTTTCAACTTGCCATTGAAAATGCTAATGCCGACTGTAAGCGAGCAATAGCTCCATTACAGAATCAAGTTAAAACTGTGGCTGATCTCATAAAAGCCTGTCAGAATGTTGGGTCAGAGCAGCATAAAGCTGAGCTGTTGGCAGCGGCTCTAACCCAGCAGCTGACTGTTGCTAAGGCAGCAGTGGAATGTTTTCTCTGTGGACAGGAGGGAATTATCAAGAAGGACTGCCCCCCATCAGAATGGAAGAGGTAGGAGTTTAAGAGGTGGAGCTCAGGCCAGAACTCCCACTCAACTCTGTCCTCGATGCCAAAAGGGATATCACTGGGGCAACCAGTGTCACTCAAGCTTTGACAAATTTGGTAATACTCTGCCAGACCAGGAAACAGCCGGAGGGGCACAAGGTCTGGTGCCCCAAGAGCAACCAACAGGGCCAGCTGGCAGAGCCCACAACCCCACAGCTTGGGTAGCCAGTCTGCAAGATAATGTGTCCCAAATGGAATGCAGTCTGGGACCATTATCATGCCACAACAGGAAGTGCTGGGTTGGACCTGGCTACAAGCCAGTGTACAACAATCATAGATCAGAGTGTATGTTTGATACCCACAGGAGTGTTTGGGCCATTGCCTGATGGTCTGTTCACCTTGCTAATTGGTAGATTCTTCAGCTCCAGAGCAGGCTTGTTCATTCTCCCAGAGGTGATCGACTCAGATTACACAGGGGAAATTAAAATTATGGCATGGACACCTACACCCCCCTGTACAGTGCCTGCTGGGGAATGTATTGTGCAATTAATCTTACTTCCTCACAGTTCATCCAACACCAGCACCCCATTCCTCCAGTATAGATCAGTCCTAGTGTGACCCCCATTCTCCCAGTATAACCCATCACAGCCCCAGTATGACCCCCTTTCCCCAGTATAGCCCAGCCCAGCACAAATATCACCCCTGTTCCCCCAATCTGCCCCAGTCCCCTTATACCCCAGTGCAGGATGGCAGCTAAGCTGGGGCAAGGGTGAGTGCTCTGGTGAGTCAAACTGGTCCCTCCATCTGGGGTGGCTCTGGTGGCCAGGGTGGCCATGGTAGCAACACCACCTCCCATCCGTAGGCTTCAATCTGCACTGAGACGAGATGCTGAGCTTCGAGCTGCGGGCACCCGACCTGGAGCTGCTGCGCTTCATGGAGGGCCACAACAGTACCTCCTGCAATGACTTCATGGGGCAGTCCACCCTGCTCATGGCCAACCTGCAGGAAAGTGAGTGCCTTCCTTCTGCCCCCTGGAGGTGGGGACAGGCCCCTGCCACCCGCTCAGCCCCTGCCTTTGTCCCCAGGGTATTGGCACATCCATCTACTCTGCAAGGACAGCATGTCCCTGTCCCCCGCCACACTCTTCGTTCACATTCGGTGTAAGAGCCTGTGAGATCCCAGCTGGAGGGACATTGTGTCCCTGTGTAGGGGACAAACTGCTCCTCCATGGGGTGGGCACCATCCTGTGCTACAGACATCTAACTTCCTGTATGGGGACAGCCATACACCTGGGGGTGTCACTTGTCTGGCGTGGGGACACAGCAGGTAGGGAACTCCCTCCATACCCCGTGTTGCCACCGCAGGACCCAAGAACATAGGGGACCCCCTCCATGTCCCCTGTGCCACCCCAGGACCCAAAGGGGGTAGGGGAGCCCCTCCATGTCCCCTAATGCCACTCCATCTGCTAGCCCATGTGCCCCTCTCCTCCCCTCCCTGGCTATGAACCTGAGTGGATAGAGATGCTGTGACAATCATGACAGGGTGGCTAGGCCATTGAAAGCCCAGAACAGCCCTTGAGGAGAGGGGGTAATGAGATGGGTGACAGCAAGCCCCAAATGTCACCAAGCCCTGGATGTGCTTGATCTCAGCCCCTCCTTGGCCTACAAGGATGGTGCCATCACCACGAGGTCCCCAAGGCCACCATTCAATCCCTGAGGGGACCCTGCTGCCACATGCCTTACTATGCCTATGACTTGGCTGGGGGTTGTTTTCCAGCACCAGTAACAGTCACAGATTTACAACCCGATGTTAAGCCAGTCAAATAAAGGTTTTATTTTAACAGAGCCTGTCCCGGTGTCCCTGTCACCTCCCAGGGCCTTTTGGGCTGGGAGGGGAAAAATGGCTGAGGCTGCCCCATACACAGCACTGCCCAGGGAGCTGCCCAGCACCCATGGATGCTCATTGGAGCAGACCCCAAACCTGCCAAGGGGACAAGGGGACACTTCCCACCCACACCCAGACTCCCCCAGCCCAGGACACCAGGGAGACAGGAGGGGACAGAGGTACTTGCATAGGTGACACAGGTTCCAGAGCAGAGGGGATGCAATGGGGTTGCTGCGGGGACATGATGGGCTCCTGGTTCCCCACCAAGGCCCTGCAGGTCCAGGCTGGGTGGGCAAAGGCCCTTGGTGTCCGTGGTGTGCCATAGAGCAGGATGGGGACACAGAGGGACAGGGGATGCACAGATGGGTCTTGGCCTTGGTGTGCAGCTTTAGAAACCTTTGGCTGGGAGGGCAGAAGCATCTCGGAGCCCTTCATGGACACAGTTCATGTAATGGCAGCAGGTGGCACGCTGCATGGGTGCTTTTTTCCCCAAGGTATCTTGATGGTATAAAGCTTTTCCATGAAAGAAAACGTCTCCTTTACCTCAGAGGTTCCCATAGCACAATGTAATGAGCCTGGTGGAAGAGCCACTGGGGTGCCTGGAGAAGCTGAAGCCCCAGGGCAACGCCGATTGTGCGTTGGCAGGGCAGTTGCTTGCATGTGTATCCGTATTTCCGTGCTTCCAAAGAAAAGCAGCTGAGCAGAGAGCCCTGAGGTGTGGTAGCAATGATGGAGCATCCCCCTGATGCCCACAGCCCCAGCGTTACGGGGAGTGGTGCAGAGAATGAGCCCCCAGGAGTCTGAGCAGAGTGGGGTGCGCCGGATGAGCTCCAGAGGCAGCAAGGAGCTGAGTCCTACTGCAGCTTCTGGTGCTGCTGCTCCTCAGTTCAGCACTTGACCCGTTGAACAAAGAGGGTTCAGGTCTCCAAGGCTGGGGAGGAGAAGGGACAAGGCATCGCTTGCACAAATAGCCCTTAGAAAGAAACTTGGAGATGCTTCCACACCTGTGTGGAGGGATGGTGCCATCCTCCCTCTCCAGGCATCCATGGGGAGGACCAAGTTTAACAAAGGATGGAGCAACCCTGGGGAAAACAGCCAAGCAGGGGACAGAGCTCAAAGCCCCCTCCAGGCAGGCAGGAGGGCTCTGGAGCTCGGCACTGCATGCCGGTGCTCTAGCACTCTAGCACCGAGCTGCTCAGCGCAGCAAGCGTCTACTTTGGTGGAGAAAAGTCACGGTGCAGTGCCCTGGAGCTGGCCTTCAGCAGATGAATGCAACTCATGGCAGTTGGGAACAGGAAAGATTTAAAATATTTATAATATATACTTTTATTATTCACCCGTTAACTCCATTATATGCCAATCATGAGCTAGTTTCAGCAGTTACATTCCTTTGATCATGTCTTTACAAGGATGCAATTAAATCAACACAAAGGAGATGGCTGGTGCTGGCCGGACAGTGACTCCAGGCAGTAGGTGACAGAGTCAGTGCCACTGCTCCCGGTGTGGGTCTGGCTCCAGCGTTAAGGATGAGGCCGCTGGGACTGGCTCCTTGGCAGCGCTGCACTCTCCTGGCCAGGGCTCACCTACTGCAACACCAGTCCGACCTGGGGAGCCAATGGAAATGGGAGGTCATGATGTGCCCCAGCACCAGTGTCCTCTGCCCCACATAGACACAGCTCACAGGCCCTGGCTGGGAGGGCTCAGTGTTGCCCATATGGGTTTCTCCAAGTTTGGAATATTATGTTGAACTGCACTCCCAGAACTGCAGGTCAAAGGAGGGGATTCTCCCTCTCTGCTGTGCTTTGGGGAGATCTCCCCCCGGCAGTCCTGATCCAGCTCTGGGGCAGCAACACAAGAGGTATGTGAAGTTGTTGGAGTGAGTGCAGAGGAGGCCACAGATACTGCAAGGGCTGGAGCAGCTCTGCTATGGAGACAGGCTGAGAGAGCTGGGGTGGAGAAGAGAAGGCTCCTTACGGGGAGACCTTAGAGCAGCTCCCAGTGCCTAAAGGGGCTACAAGAGAGGGGCTTTGGGCAAAACAGGAATGGCTTTAACCTGCCAGAGGGGAGACTGAGATGAGCTCTTAGAAGCTCCTCCCTGTGAGGGTGCTGAGGCGCTGGCACAGGGTGCCCAGAGAAGCTGTGGCTGCCCCATCCCTGGCAGTGTTCAAGGCCAGGTTGAACACAAGGGCTTGGAGCAAGCTGCTCCAGTGGAAGGTGTCCCTGCCTGTGGCAGGGATTGGGACTGGATGCGCTTTAAGGTCCCTTTCAACCCAAACTAGTCTGGGATTGTATGATTTGAGAGCAGCAAAAGCCCTGGACTCGTGGCCAAACGGGCACTCGTACCCTGCCCAACTCCAGCTCGGGAGGTGACTGATGTTGGGGTGTGACATTCTCCAGCAGTCTGCAAGACAGACTTGATTTTCCAGCCAATGTTGTTTCTAAGCTAATAGCCACAGATTTGGGAGAAGCTGCTTCCCAAGAGTCTGGTATCAGGCCTGGTCGCTCTACAGGCAGCCACCACTGCTGGGTGCTCTCCAGCTGCTGCATGACAGGACATACTGGTGGCTAGTCCCGACCTCTGATCTGCTGGAGCCACAGGCAGTCCTTTTGCACATGCTCTTTTGTAAGTAGAGCTCCCCACTGGCACAGGGTCCTGCTAACACTGACTCAACAGCTACCATACTCATCTGTTCTCTCTAGAGCAGGGGGTTGAGGGGATAAGCCCTTCCTGTGCACTGGTTGGCCTGGAGGACTCCACCACCCCAAGGCACTGACCTTCTCTGGTGCCATGCTGGGACACTTCCAATTGTACAGGTAATACTGCAGGTTCCCGTCCCCAATCCCAAACTTCAGCTTCTCCAGGAAGGTTTTGTTTTCCATGAGATCCAGTGCATTGAAGACGTCAAATCCTTTCTGCAAGAAAAGATTAACAAAGACAAGACACAAAGCCATCAGTTCCTCCTGCTTACACAGATGAATTCCTCCCATCCATGAGCTGCCTGACCACTCTCCTGTCCAGCTTTGTACCCCCAGAAGCAGGGACTGAGGCCACCAAGAAATAATTTAGCATTCCACCCTCAATTCAAGTGCTGTGGATGTACAGCAATATCATTTGAAATGAGTAGATACTCTGAGCTCAGCTCACCACTAGCTGGAAGGTTCAGGCTATCCCAGCATCCCTCTCCTGGGTGGAAGATCCTTTGGGATTTGGGTTTGTACAGCCCTGGGTATAAGCCGTGCCCCATGGCCAGCCCAACAGCAGCCAGATGAGCCATCACTCACCAACTTGGCAAGGATGAGAGCATCACTCATGAGGTCGATGAGAGGTGTCTTTGTGTGAACATTGTAGAAAGAGTAAGCAGCTTTCAGGCTCTTGTGGGTCGGGTGGTTCATGATGGTGGAGGGCAGCGTGTAGAAGCTCAGGAAGTCTGTCACCTCCCCTGGGGTGCTCTGCAAACCAGAAGTGACACCACAAAACATCAGAGCCAGGATAAAGCTCGGCCTGAGCCTCAGGGAAGCTTTGCCAGTCTGAGTGACATGTGGGCTCCCTGTGAGGAGACTTTGGGCAGCCCAGGATGGAGGTACCATTCTCCAGCAGCTCAAACCTCCCAGCCTGAAAGAACATCTCACTGACTGGGGCAGCCTCCTCCAGAGGAAGCAGAAACCGAAGAAAACACCCTCAATCTTGCTCCTGCCCCCTCACCTCCACCACAAAGGTGTCAATGATGTTCTCCTGAGGTAAGAACCAGTGTTCCACCTCCTCTTGGCTCATGATGGGTGTCAGGTGGAACTGCTTCAGGTACTCGGTCAAGAGCTTGTGCACTGCAGAGATATCTTTGTGCTCCATTGGCCGCAATCCAGAAGTCTTGGGTGTCTACAGAAAGCAGGAGAAACCCTTTGAGTTGCTTGCACTGTGACTTTTATCACCCAAGGGCTCTCTGACAAGAAGCACAGAGATGCTATCTGCTTAGATCAGCCCATTTTCAGTCCCAAATCCCAGCATTCCTGTCCCCCAGCCTTGCTTGCCTGGCAGGATGAATGCGATCAGCCGTGACACCGGCACAGAGACCATAGAGAAGCATAGCAGGTCTCCAAGCCCCATGTGACAGGTGAAGTCCCACTGGAAGTGGCTTCCTACCCACTAACAACTCAAGATCTCTGCCCCCCTCTGGGTTTCTGGTCCCACTTGCAGCAGGGATGGCTGGGAGATGTGCCCCAGGCACTGCAAGGAACCACCTGAGGTTATTTTCAGTTGGTCTCAATTTCCACTGTATGGTTCGGGTTTCTCAGCAAAGCCCAGCTCAAGCAGCACAGACTGCTTCAGGGTTTGGGTTTCTATGCAAAACCCAGTAGCTACAATCCAGCAGCTGGTGCCTCTGCTGTGGTAAGAGGCAGGAGACAGGATCCATGTGAGGCCCAGCACTGAAGCAGCACCCTCCAACTGCAACAAGCAGCTTTGACCAACAAAATGAAGGCAACAGTGTCAGGGAAGGTGGTGGCAATTTTAATGCTTTGTTTGGTTTTTCTCTCATATCCAGCTGGGAACTTCCCAGGCAGGACAACTGCAGTGACAGAACTGATCAGTTTGACTGAAGAATGAGGGACTAACCCAGTGCATGGTCACTCCAAGGCTGTGTTTGGACAGATGAAGGCTGTCATATCTGCATTCTTGTTTTACCAGCAGGACAGGATATGACTCACCATCAAACTAAAGCTCACAGGGTCCTCTAGCTGCAAAAATTTGCCTTAAAATGCAGGTACCCAGGCAAAACATACATACAGATTAAATAAAGAGCAATGGCTTGACATTTACTACATGAATGAAACCCCAGTTCCCCAGGCAGAGGACCTGACCTCAGTCGAGGTGTTTGTCTCTCCAATTCCTAGCCTCACACCCTGCTCAACAAGGAAAAGTTCATGAGCTCACAGCCCTGCCTGGCACCCACCTCGGGCAACCGGTAAAGCTTCATGGTACGCTGCATAGTCATGTTCCTGCTCAGGTGGGAAAATTTGACCTCGATGAGTTTCCGAGGATTCAGGGACCGGTGCCAATACCTGCGGAAACACACTCACAGTGGGAGACTTGTTCCTGGGCAGCAGGATGGCCACAAGGTTCTCAGAAGTGCCATGAGAGAGTGAGAACAGCACTGGTGAAGGGGTCAGCAGTTCCCACAGAGAAAAACAAGGGCAGACTGAAGCACTTGTGCTGCAGAAAGTCTCCTGTCCTGTGATATATGAGCAGCTTAAGCAAAGCTACTGGACTTAATCCTGGAAGGATGTTTCAGGGAGGAGAAACCTGGGCTGGAATCAATCTCTCCTGTCCTGGGGAATCCCACACACGCTACAGAAGATATCTTGGTAAGGGAAGGTCTGCAGGGAAGAATTTCTTTGGAGAACCCTAGCTACTCACCTGCAAGTCCCCACAGGCTTTGGCAGCACCACTCCTGCAGTGTAAACAGCCTGGAAGATTCCCTCCAGATGCACCCGCCGCGTGATCTCCCTGATCAGAACTGGAGCCACCCGTTTCGAACGCAGCTTTTTGTGCACACAGAGGAAATTTATTTCTACCATCTTCTTCTCTCTTGGGAAAGAAACAATGCAAAGCATGAGACCCCACTGCCATAAGCCAGGAGGATCAGCCCAACACTCAGGGCAATTTACCTCCAGCCCCTTCAAGAAAAAGAGCAGTCAAAGCCTTGGGGAAGTCCAAGGAGCAAGGGCTGGGTTTGGAGAACTCCCCCTTAAGCTGTTACCCAAGGTTTTCCCAAGTTAAATGGCCTACATCCAGCCTTGGAGGATTTCTGTAAACTAGAGCTCTGAGCTGACCTTACTTGTTGAGGAAAACAGCCTTCATGGTGGCTAACTACAAGATGTCCTTGCACAGAACTTCACTGCTCATCTTAAATATCCCCCACCTTCTCCTCCAAGCAGCAAAGCATCCCCATGGTTGGGCAGCATAGGTCTGGCTCTGTTGGTTGGGGAGGACAATGTAGCCAGACCTTCTCAGTGCTCCCAGGAAGCCCCTGTACCATCAAGGGGCAGAATGAGAAATGCAGCCAAGCAGCACTCACGTGTCATAGATGTGGATGGTGGCTGGAATCGCACTGATAAATCCAACCAGCTTCTTGCTGGAGACAACTCTGACTCCACAGTGCCACTGGGGCAACCAGCCTGGAGGACGCAGTGCCCTGGAGAAGAGACACTTCAAAAGCCACATCCCAAAGGTTCCCAGAGTACCTGCTCCTGCCTCCCCATTGTGCCCTGCGACACCCTGTTCCCAAGGCAGCTGTGGGTTTGCAGGCAGGATGAGAGCATGACAGTGATGTGACAAGCAGGATCACTGGGATCTAGAGCAATTCCTTTACTCCATGGCCAAAGCCAGTTCTCACTAGCGACACAGGAGGAAATCCATGTTCCTTGATCGACCAAAACCCTGAGGAAACAGCAGCTCTGGTGCAACAGGTGTCCAAGTGTTATTCCCAGCAACACTGCTTTGCAGCCACCTTCATCCTACAGCTCCAGGGCATTGAGAAGTTCCTCAGCTACTGGTATTTTTACGAAGACTCAGGGATCAACCCAAAGAGTTAAAAAGTTCCTGGTTTAGGCTCCTATCTCTCAAGGAAGCCAGAGGCAGGCAGGGCTGAGTGAGAGTTCTCACAGTGTACATGGGACACAGCACACAGTGACAGATGGGAAGGGAGGTTTCATCAAGTGAGATGGGAAAAGTAACAGCAGCTCCAGTGCTGTCACTGGGAGCAAGCTCAGCAGCATCCAACCCCCTGTACTCCATGGTCATGGTGCCACTCACCACAGCAGGAATTCGGGAGAGTAATCGAACCGGAACATGTTGTCGTCGTCCTCCACGTAGTTCTCGTTCAGCAGCGTGTACAGCTCTTTCAGCTGAAGCAGCAGAGACCAAGCAAATTAAGAAATCTGTTCAGCCATCACATGCCCCAGCTGCCCTGAGATGGGACCCTGAGCACTTTTTGTGTGGCCACAGCATTAGGTAACATATGCAGATGTGTCCCTGTTTCTGGCATGTCCCCCTGCTCTGGCCTGCTGGCTCCAGGCTCCTGAAACTGCCATTGTAGAGCTGGGTAAGCAGCAGGACACACAGGATGACACAGGTCATATCCCAGGGAGGTGGGTCACAGTCTGGAGGGTCTTCCTAAGTGAAAACTCCTGGCTTCAGGTATCCTTATATCACTGCGAAGAAACCAGGCTAACCAGGCCAACACGGGATGGGGAAGAGGTAATTGCACAGTGAGAGAAGTCAGATCCAGCTAACTCCAAGGAGATGGCATGATCACTGAGTTGGGGAGTTGCCTGGTATGGTGAAGGACATGTTCCTGTCCCCAAAACCATCTTTGGCAGTCTAAGCACAGAACTGCCAACTGGGCAATGGAGATGGCCTTCCAACACATGTGCCAAGCTGCCTGTACTCACCACGCCTCTATCTCCAAGGTCCAGGGCATCCCAGGTGAAGCCCTGAGGCAAAGTGTATGGCTCCTGACGGATATTGTCTTTGTCTGGCTCAACGGGACCATGGGTGTTCACCACTTCTCCTACGAGAGCAAGGAGCTATGAAGACACCTTCTACTTTTGAAGCCAAGTCTCCACAACAACACTTCAATCTGGCAACCAATGTGCCTCATGTCTCCTACCCCAGGTTCCTGCTGAGGGGAGCCATGAATTGCTATTTCACCCACCCACTTTGGGATGTGTAACACATCTGTTGTGACACAGGGGCAGAGAATCAAAACTCCTTCCAGTGCAACACTGCAGCTGACTGGGCAGTAGAGTGGAGATGATCAAGCTGATCAGAGCTTCAGGGCCACAGCTATATCTTCCAGGTCCATATGTGATGTCTTATCCTTCCCCATCCCCACAATCCCAGCCTTGGCCAGCACTTTCCCACGAGCTGCTCCATGCGATGGTGGCTGTCTCCCTGGCAGCTCTGGCCCTTGAAATTTGGCAAGTGTCAGGGTTTCCTTCCCACTGCCCTTACTGAAGAGCTGCAGTACTTTTGTTGAAAAAAACACTGACTCCTAAAGCTCCTGATTCAGCCAAGAGATGCTGGTTCAAGCACTGGCTTTCCTGGGGATGTCAACACAGTGGCATCACTTCAGTGCTGTGAAGGGAAGCAAGCTGTGCAAATTAGGAATTCCCTTAAAAAGGGATTGGAAAGGTTTGCAGTTAACAGGGAGGTGAAGAAAGCCCAGAGCAAAATCTGCCCCCATCACACTCCTCCAGAAACGCTCACCCCTGGCTGTCCTCTCTGTTTTGAACAGGCGCTGAACTGCTCTGGAATCCAGTCCCCAAAATCCCACAGCACTTTTGTTACCCAGCCTTCACTAGCCTGATGTACATAATACTGTGTGCCAGAGCATGCTTCTGAGTCAGAGCACAGCACAGCAAGTTGGTGTATGGAGGGACGTGCTGTTTTGTGCTCCTCTTTCCCCTGAAGACATCTTCCACCTTTCCTCCAGAGTTTACCCAAACAGAAATGATGTTTGCCATGCCCAGGATCCTCTGGTAAAAAAGGCTAATGCAAAATATGGTTTTGCTGTCTCACCCAACCCCATGCCATCTCACTATGGCTTTCCATGCACAAAGCTAAGACCATTGCTCTCAGCAAACAGTCTTTGAGACAAAAGAAAGCCTCAGCCTGGTGCTGACAGCAAGGAAAGGGAATCAAACACAGTTTGTGTTTGCAGCAAAAGGGACTTGAAGCCCCATACAGGAAAGTACTGAGGGACAGCCAATTTGAAGCCATGACAAGCTATGGGTAAAGCTAGAAAGGATGGGCTTGGGCGCATTTACTAGTTCTCCTGAGCTCTACATTGATTTTGCTGGAGGAGACTAAGCAAAGCAACCCCAGGCACCCCAGGAGCACTGCAGACTTGATCCAACTAGGCTGGGAAGAAGCACCGTCCAGCCACGCAGATCAGAAGCAGGGCTCCCCTCTGCCTTTTAGATGTGCTCAGCTGCCAACAGCTCCTGCCACCCTGAGCAACACCTAGTACTGACAATACATCACTTCTGATGGAGCTGATAGTGTCAAGAGCAAACTGGAGAAAGGGCTGGAGCAAAGAGTAGAGCTGGGAAGAGCAGCCGGGCTGTTTGCAAGGGGAAGAGGGCAGGAAGAGAAGGGATTTCTCATCTTTAGATGTGCATGGCAGCTTGGGCATGCACAGGCTCTCAAGGTTTGTGTCTCCCTTCTCTTGACTGAGCCCAGCACCTACCCATGCCAGAGGCTGATGTGAGCTCAGAAAACCAAAAATGTGGCAGCTTAGCATACAGACCTGCTTCCCTGAGCAACTGGCCCTGTCTCATGCCGAGCTACCTTCCACACCAAGGACCCCTTGCTGGAAGCTTCAACTCTCAGAAAAGGCATAGCTGCAAAGTCCTTAGGACTTGGCAAGAAGGTGGCTAACAATGCTGCACTTGAAACTTGGGCACAGAGGGGTCTGGAAACCCAATTCAAGGGCTAAATACAAATGAAGGGATGCCCAAACACAAGAGGCATCAAATCAGGTGTCTCAAATGGCTCCTCGTACCTCTTGACCACCCCAGCCACCTGCACAGCTTTCCAGTGGCAGGGCTGAGAGTCCATGATTCTGAACGGGAGACAAGCATCACTGATGCCTTCAAAGCCCAGATAGGACAGCAATGAGAGGCCATCTAGGAACTCACCTGCTGGCCAGAGACCAGCTACTTCAGGCTTCTTTGAGCAGCCTGAGGACCACAAGGCTTCTCCCAAGGAGCACAAACCAGCAAGGGGCTGTACATACCTAGCTTCGGCACTGGCTGTGTGTCCCAGAACTGGTAGCTCCTTTTGCTGGCTTCCTCCATGGTTTTGGCAGGGCCTTGACCTACAGAGAAGAGCTCTATGGCTTTTTGAATCTCCTGGATCCTCTCAGCAGGTAAAGAGTTTACCTGAGGACAGAATGGCAAAATGAGTAAGCTGAGCCACCAGGTCTGTATTTCAGCTCTTCCTCTGGAGATTGTGGAACTGACTCTGCCCTGGGACACTGCCAGGAAGGGGAGAGCAAGTAAGAGACCCCCTTCCCATCATAGATCCTCCTGTAACCCTCTACAAAATGGATGAACCCTGTCACCAGCCACCTGCTACACACCTAGACCTGGTTTATAGGCACTCCTGGGTCAAGGGAGGTGGATGAACTGCCTTAAAATGCTTTAAACTACAGTTAAGAGGGTGCTGTAACCCCCAAGAGCAAAGCTCCTTGCTCCACCTTGGCCAACACCCTGAGACTCCCTGGCTCATGCAGGGACTGAGACTCTGCATGAGCCAGAGACTCCCTGGCTCAACCCACACCCAGCACCTGGGCCTCCTGAGGTGGCTTTTCCCTCATTGCTTCAGCCTCCTCCACTTAAGCTGGATCCATATCTGCAAATGGCAGCTTCCATAGAGGAGTCCCTGGGCCCTGTGGACTAGGACAAGGTGGAGAGGCTGAATCAAGAAGAAAGATTTTCCTCCTCCTCAGACAGACCTTGGCGGGGGGGCAGTTCCAAACCCCAACTGTTCCCTGATTCCTGAAGAATTTAGTTCGAAAATGCAAAGTCCCAAATTAATGCTTTGCACAGCCAGGAGGACAAAATATCAGCACTACCCAGATGGGAACTGGGTGCTGGATAGGAAAGAGATTCTGTTGATGTGCGGATCTGTGTGTCCCCTGCCAGAGGATAAGAGGGGATGAGAGGGCCTGGAGGATGCCACACTGGCAGGGACAAACCCTATGAGCCCCAACCTCCTTTCTGAAGCACTGGCTGCTAGACAGGACCAGGCAAAGCCAAGAGGGGTGAGACAGACCCTGCTCTGACCTGGCTGCTGCTCTTATGAAAATGAGGCAGAAAATCAACAGTATCAGATGTCATCCAAGAAGGAGAACACATTTGCCGTGGTGGATGTGGGCAGCAGGGGCAGTGGCAGCTCCCTGCCTGTAACGAGCCAGTGTGATCCTTTCATTGCTCACTAGAGTGGACTGGGACATCCAGCCAACAACCACATTTACCCTGGAGGGCTCCACAAACACCTCCTGCACCGACGGGAATTCCCATACATGGAGCCAGGCTTGGCAATCACTTGAAAATTTCAGTTCTTTGAGCAGCCAAGTGCCTAAAACCAGGATCAGGAGGCTCTTTCCTTGCCCTAAGCTACACTGAGGAGGCTCAGGATGGGGCTGGATGCTGTGTGGGGCTGTAACTCTGGGAAGGGGGTCAGTCACCTTCACTGGCTGGTCCTGAGCCTGGTTGGGCTGATCTCCTCCTTTCTCTTTCTTCCTTCTGGGTTTTTTTTTCTTCTTTTTGACTCCACTGTCATTTGCTGGACTCAAGCCTCTAAGGAACAAAAGAAACATCATTAGAGCCCTGAGGTTTCTTTTGGAGAAGAACTTTTATAGGGTTTCTGTTGCTCTTTAAAGAAAACACACGCTCCTTGCTCTCAGTCCAAGTTTCCAGGAGGGTGAATGCTCAGTGCACAGAGGGTGCAGTGCTGTGCCCTCTTCCCAGCATCTCTCCCAGAGCTCTGTGTTACCTCCCAAAAGGGGACCAGCACCAACATCTCCCACCCTGCAGGTTTTCTCAGTGGTGGGGAGATCTTAGAGCAGCTCCCAGCACCTAAAGAGGCAACAAGAAATCTGGAGAGGGATTTTGGACAAGAGCCTATAGGGACAGGACAAGGGGAATGGCTTTAACCTGCCAGAGGGGAGACTGAGCTGAGCTCTTAGGCAGAAGCTCTTCCCTGTGAGGGTGCTGAGGCACTGGCACAGGGTGCCCAGAGAAGCTGTGGCTGTCCCATCCCTGGCAGTGCTCAAGGCCAGGTTGGACACAGGGGCTTGGAGCAAGCTGCTCTAGTGGAAGGTGTCCCTGCCTGTGGCAGGGGTTGGGACTGGAGGAGCTTTAAGGTCCCTTTCAACCCAAACCAGTCTGAGATTGTATGATTTCTTACCAATTTTAACAACACAAACTGATGGCACAAGGCAAGTTTGTGAGCACATCTGAGGGCAGACGCTGGAAGCCATCCCTTCTAAAGGAGACTGCACATGTTTTCCCAGGTCACCTCCACATCAGGATGCTGGAGGTGTCAGATGAGACCAACAAAATCCTTCCAGACCTTGAGTGTTCAGTCGGTGTCACTTTGCTTCATAAATCAGAGTTGCCAACTCCCAGCTTGCTGCTAATGAGTTCAGCCCAACCAGCATCACTTCACCCCGTGCCAGACTCACAGGTAAAGTCTCTGAGAAAAGTCCTCCCTGATTTATGAGCAAAGCCATCGTAACCTGGGAGAAATCAGGATGGAATACGGTAGGATGAAGTTTTGCATTCCTAGGTGCTGTGGTGTGGGGAAGGGCCCTGCTCCAGATGGGTGATGAAAACCAACCCAGCAGAGACTTGCCAGCATGTGTGAAAATGCTGGAAAACATGAAGGTCCAACTTGTTACACCTTGGGAAACAGTAATTATAGGTATTTTCTATTTTAAAGTCCATTTAGGAAAGCAAGTATCATCTTTGTTATGCTCCAGTGCAGCTGCAGCCCCTCTGACTCTCCTCAAAGTAACAGAAATATCCCAGCCGTCCTGGGATGATCTACCTCCATACAAAATCCCAACTACTGCAGCTGATGTGACCCACGAAGCTGCAAGGGCTGAAGCTGGTTGCTCCCCCAGCAAGGGTTAACTGCCAGGCCAGCTCCTGTCCCACAGCCCATGATTTTTCTTCCCTATCTCCTTTCCAGCCTGAGCTGCTTTAAGAGATAACGTGGGTGGAGAAGTACGCGTTGGCTGCACCATGCAAAATACATCCCCAACACCTGCAATAATCCGTGTTCCCTTCTCCCAGGAAAGGCATCACCAACATCATGGCCATTACCTATGGCTGCAACCCCACTTCCCCTCTACCAAAGGACTCTTAGAGTTTGCCAACCACTGCATGGAAAATAACAGCCATAATGCGAGGCAGCATGAAAATAAGGCTTTTGGAAGCACCTAAAAACCAGGCGGGCTTGCTCAAGGCAAGACCCGCTCAGACTGTCCTGCACCAGCTCAGCCCCTCTGGAGGCTGGCAAAGCCCAGGCACACCAGTAACAAACTGGTGTCCACCATCTACTTATCTATAACCTGAATCCACGCATGCTCCTGCTGTATTCCAAGCTCTAAGGGCTTTATTTGTGCAAGGTGAGGGAGGAAAGCACAAGGGAGGACAACTCTGGCTGTGGCTGACTTCCCACGGCTCCCACAGTTGCCAAAGCCACGCAGGAAGTTCTGGGTGGGCATGGAGGGATTTCAAAGGCAGGGACAACGTGTTATTGCCCATAGCATACACACTGCAGTGATCAAAAAGCATTTTCTGTTCCACAAAGCTAACTGCCACATTTGGGTTCACAGACTGGCTCACAACTCAGCAAACAGGACCAAAAATGCTGGTTCTGCCACCAAACCCCAACTGGAAACAATCCCCAGATTCAAGCAAGGGCTTGTGTTCTTTGTAATTCCTCCACTGCATGGCCTTGCCTCCCCACCTGAAAGGTGTCAGGTGAGAACCAGGAGCTCCCTGCTCCCTATTTAGGTGCTGGAAAAACCTTCTGTCAAACCTGGGGCTAATCGGTGTGGTGCTTAAGTTGAAATCATCTCAGGGGCCGGGGTGGGGAGGGAGGCTCTGCAGATGGCGGAGCACAGGTCCCAAAGCAGAGTGCACCATTACTATGCTCCTTACAGCACCTAAAACTAAATCCTGCATGGTAGAGCATGGCAGATGTCCCAGAAACATCCCCTCTCAGTGCAAATGACAGCAGGGATTGCTAAATCTGACAGCTGCCCTTCTGACAAAAGCCCCTTTTCCCCCCATGCTCCATCCAGCAACAACCCAGTTCACACCACAGAACCTTCCCTGAACTCTTCCCACCTTCCCTGTGTGGTTTTGCCAACAACAGCCATGTTTCACAGGGCTGGGCCACTTGAATCCTTGGTCTCATCACTGCCTGTGGGCTGACAAATCCCATGGGCTGGCACCAGCTTGGTGAAGTAGAGCCCGTGCTGGTCTCTGCTCTTCCAATGTCTTTATCTACAACAGGAATAAACCCTCCACAGACCTGGAAACATGACAGGAGCCTTCTCTGCACAAAGGGTAACAAAAGTGGGATTTGTTTGCACTTTTTGGGGGAGGAAATCAACTTGGACACTGCAGCAGACAGCAGTGTAGCAGCTTCCCTGTGCTGACACAGAACGGCGGCAGCAGAAGCTCAATTCCTCTTTCCTGGCCTTAAAAGGAAAGGAAGTATTGCTTCCACTAAGTAATAATTGTACGTTTTAAATTTCAGAGCTAAGATCCAGCAACTGTTTCTTGCAGCCCAGAAAGCCAACTGTATCCTGGACTGTATCAAAAGGAGTGTGACTAGCAGGTCGAAGGAGGTGATCTTGCCCCTCTACTCTGCTCTTGTGAGACCTCACTTGGAGTATTGTGTGCAGTTCTGGTGTCCTCAACATAAAAAGGACATGGAACTATTGGAACAAGTCCTGAGGAAGGCCATGAGGATGATCAGAGGACTGGAGCACCTCCTGTATGAAGACAGGCTGAGAAAGTTGGGGCTGTTCAGCCTGGAGAAGAGAAGCTGTGTGGGGACCTCATAGCAGCCTTCCAGTATCTGAAGGGGGCTTATAAGGATGCTGGGGAGAGGACTCTTCATTAGGGACTGTAGTGATAGGACAAGGTGAAATGGGTTAAAACTTAAACAGGGGCAGATTGGATATAAGGACATAGATAAGGATGTAAGATTGGACAGACTGGATATAAGGAATAAGTTCCTTACTGTAAGGGTGGTGAGGCACTGGAATGGGTTGCCCAGGGAAGCTGTGAATGCTCCATCCCTGGCAGTGTTCAAAGCCAGGCTGGACAGAGCCTTGACTGACATGGTTTAGTGTGAGGTGTTCCTGCCCATGGCAGGGGGGTTTGGAACTAGATGATCTTAAGGTCCTTTCCAACCCTAACTATTCCATGGTTCTATTCTGTTCTATGATTCTATAACTCTCACCACAAGCTGGGCAGAGGCAGGACTAGGATTGTTGCTCTGCAACCCCCTGGCACCTCAAGAAACTTCCCCTGCCCTTTTTTGGGCGACAGTGACAGGAAACACTCCCCCACTCCAGCGTAACATGACATATGAGATCAACAGAACCAACGTGCATTGAGAAAGAAAACCACCACCTTTCCTATTGCCCGGTCTTTTCTCTCCTAAGTGGATCCCCCCCATTAGGTTTTGAGGAAACAGGAGCTTTGCCAGAGCACTTGGAAGGTTCACTGCCTTGTGCTTGTGATCACTGTGCCTGTCAGCCACACTTGCAACATTATTTCCTGAGTGATCCAAACTCTCTGTTACTGGGGCACTTCCCAGGCTGTTCAGTTAGCTTGTTGCACGTCCATGCTTGCCCTAGTTCAGGCAGGAAACTGCATTTTAACTCCTGGAGGTTGCAGGTGTGATACCGGCCCAAGAACAGACCTTTTCCTGGCAAAGTACAGGTTGAACCTCTGGACTGGGAAATAACAGTGATTAAGCACTGTATCTCCTCTCTGCTTGGCTCTGCTTTCCATAAACCTAACCATATCAGAGGGAAAGAGAATAATAATCTTCCCAGGAACAACTGTACCTATTACCCTGAGACACAGTGCCACACTTGTGAGGCAAATACACCATAACCAGGCATCTGTGCTGTCATAAAGAAATCCTCTGTGATATTTCTTGAGTGACATTTTATTCACTTTGGTTACTAGGCAGGTGAGTTTGCCTCTGGAAAGCTGCTGATGGAGGAAGAAGAGCGGTTCAAGGCGATGGCCTCTGTGCCGCAACACTGGGAAAGCACCTGCTGGGGCACAAGGCGAGCAGGAAGAGGAGCATGGTGAGGCCCAGGGGCATGAAGCGCAAGGTGCAAAACCTCTGGAAACACATGATATGACATAAGCCACACATCAACGTGCCCTGCTGCATTGTAAAGCCGGCAGGAACGAGAAGGAAACCAACAGCTCTGTGTCTTATCAAATAAAGCAGCAAGTAAAGGGGTGCCTCTTGGGGATTTCAGATCTTTCCTACCTAGATAAAGCCGTTCCTTGCTATGTCCACTCACACCCAGCCTAATTGCTCTTAACTCAAGATTTCATATCCCGCTCCTCAAACCACAAGACAACATTAGCTGAGCTTTGCAAAACCCTGAGCTGTTTTCAGGATGAGGCCAGAATGGGTGCGCAGGAGACTGGGCTTTTTCCAGGGCAGCCTTAGGCTCCGGGGAGCGGGATAAGACACCCAGTGTGTCACTGTGGTGCTGGAAGTGCCAGGAGGGGAACAGGGCTTGTGCTGGGGACCAAGGGGCATGTGAGACACACTCTAATACAAGGACAAGAAGAGCTGCGGATTAAGCGCATTCCTGCCAAAGGAAGAGGCACTTGCGGCCCCGTCCCGGTTGCCACCGGACACAGCGCTGCCCATTCCCCATCCACGCCACGGCTGAACCCAACCCCGCTCGGCTCCAGACACGCTCCCCCAACTGGCGTGAATGAGAGCCAGAGGATCCACCCCTCCCCGGCAGACTGACGGGCAGCTAAACCAATCGTAGAGCGGGAAGCTGCCTCGCAGCCAATCAGCACGCCCGCAGGGCGGGGCGCCGCTCACTTCCCTGCCACCTCCCTCCTCAATGGGCCCGGGCGCCGCCGTGGCGGGCGGCCCCGGTTGCGGCTCACCCCCGGTTGGAGCCGTGCTCCGCCTCGTTCTCGCAGTCGCTGCAGTACTCGTGGTCGTTATCCTCCGGCGGCGGTCGCGGACACCTCGCCGGTGGCCGCCTCGCTGCTGTATCACTGTCGTCCGCCATCTTGCAACGGAGCCTCGGCGCCTGCTGCACCCCCAAAACAAAGCGCGCCGCGATTGGGTGATGGGCCGTGGGGCATGCCGGGATCGGTAGTCTGTACCGGCGTGCGGAGACCCGGCTGCGCAGTTGCGGGAACTATAACTCCCATCGGCCTTCGGGGGCTGCCGCGGTGGGGCTCGCTGGCGGAGGGGTGTGCACACACAGAATAGCGCAGCATTGCGGGGCCACCCGGCGTGGTGGAAATCCGCGGCACAGCTCTTCCGTCTCCTGTCTTACGTCGAGGCCGTGGGGCCCCCGCCCTCACTCGCTTCCTGCCTAAGGGGGCGGGCCGAATCCAATGAGGGAGGCGATGATTGGCTGATAGGCAGTCCGCTTTTCCCACCAGCCAATAGGCGCGTGGGATGCTGCGCCGCGCATGAAGCTCGGCAGAGGCTGAGAGGGTGACGGCGCTATGGGGAGAGTTGCTGCAGCCTTCGCATTCCGCGGCCAGGCCCGCCCTGGGCGGTACCTCCGCCCCCCGACCTGACACCCAACAGTATCACAGGCCCCACGCAGGAGCCGCGGCAGCCCTCCGGGCTTGGGGAGGCCTAGGGAGTGGTCACGGGCCGGGACCACCGGGAATATGCCACTTGCAGCCAGGGCCCTGTCCGGTGCACATGGAGCTTAATTGAGCACCTGCCGAGGAGCCCGGGAGTGATTCATAGCGGCTGTTCTGGTGGTGGCTTTTTACCCACCGAGGTTAGTGTGTTATATGGGTTTTCCCTTTAACTGCAGCCTCCTCAAGCCAAGCACCAGGGCTGTGAATGTGCCAGAGCTGAGGGGAGCAGGAGCAGGGCTGGGGTCAGGGTGGGCTGGAGGTCATGTTCACGTTTCATCTCTCTTCTCAGCCTCAATGCACTCCAGCTGAGGCTTGAGACAAACAACTTATGCTGGAAAACCAGAGGAAGTGGGACACGGGGGAAGTTCGGACACCTCAGTGTTTAAAAGCTGCTTTTCTGGGCTCTGCATTACATCTCCCAGGGCACCTTTTCTCACAGCAGGAATAACTCCCCCGGTTTTGCAGGTGCCTCTGTGGCTTTCATTTCAGCTTTTCCCACACCTGATTTAGTTGTTGCAGGCCAAAACCACACACACAAGTTTATTTTAAGGAAAAGTAGTTCTGGCCTCTGCCTGTAACATCTGCAGGAACCCTGGTACATTTGTGTGCAGTTCAAACCTGGGCTCGTTAAATATTTATCCTTCATACCATGTATCTTCTATCTGTACAGGCCCTTTGACAGCACATGTGTTTTCAAGCTCCATTTGGCTGTGATTTCTAGACAGTACCTTCCAAGTGCTCTTTTACCCCTGCAGTAATTCTCACAGCCACCTGCCTGCAGAGCTATGTAACAGAGGGACAGAAATAGCAGAGTTTTGGGAGCAAGTCCCAGCTGAGGCTGGATGCCAGAGTGCAGGATTACTGCAGCTAAAGCATACCAAAGGCTTGATTCCTGTCCTGCAGTGTTAGCCCTTCCAGGCTGGTGCAGAGGGCACATAAGATCATGCTGGAGAGGGCAGGATTTTAACCCTGCTGTGATGAAGACACGATCCCTGTCACATCAAGCCCAACGTAACACCAGAAAAGGCTTTATAGGCTCCATATGCTCTCTTCCGCACACTGTGAGCTCTATGACATTACCACCGACCTCCCTCTCACTTCCCCACCTCGAAGTCCAAGTGTGCAGAATTTACGCCCTTCGGACGTCTTCAACTCCTCCCTCTTAAGGTGGCTCCGCCCCCTTCGGGTGACTTCAGCTGCACTCGGGTCTCTTCGGGCGGCTCCACCCCCTTCGGGTGGCTTCCGCTATACTCGAGTCCCCTCGGGCAATGGCGGTGGCGTGGGGCGGGCAGCCGTAAAGGGGTGCTGCCTCCTGTTCCTGCCCCGTTCTCCCCCGCCATGGACTGGTTCCATTGCAACAAGTGCTTCCGGCAGGAGGGAGCGCGGTTCGCGGTCACTAGCTGCGGGCACGTCCTGTGCGCAGCGTGCGGGGCCGCCGGTGAGAAACAGGGAATTTCATCACTTCAGTGCCTTTAAATGATGGAAAAAGGGGGAATTACATCACTTTTGCCTTATAAAGCAGTGGGAAAGAGAGAATTCCATCACTTTTACCTCATAAAATACTGGGAAAGAGGAAATTGCATCACTTTTAGCTCATAAAGTGGTGGGAAAAAGGGAATTCCATATCTTTAACACATTAAAATGGTGAAAAGAAGAAATTCCATCACTTTTACCCCATAAAGTAGTGGGAAAGAGGGTACTCCATCACTTTTACCTCATAAGGCAATGGAAAGGAGGGAATTCCATCACTTCTACCTCATAAAGTAGTGGGAAAGAGGGAATTCCATTACTTTTACTTCATAAAGCAATGGAAAAGAAGGATTTTTTTCACCTTAAGGCCTTTAAATAGTGGAAGAGACGGAATTCCTTCACTTTTACCTCATAAAATACCAAAAAGAAGGGAATTCCTTTTACCTCATAAAGTACTGGGAAAGAGGAGATTCCTTCACTTTAATGCCTTTAAATGCTGGAAAAAGAAGGAATCCCCTCACCTTAACACCTTCATTTGATGGAAAGAAGAGAATTGCTTCCCTTTTACCTCATAAACCAGCAGAAAAGTGGGACTCCCTTTCCTTTAACCCCTTTAAACAGCAGAAAAGCAGGAATTCCTGTACTTTACCACCTTTAACTGATGGAAGGAAGAGAATTCCCCCACTTTTACCTTATAAACCACCCTAAAAGCATTAATCACTTCCCTTTACCCGTTACCCCCGCAGGACCATGCCCCGTGTGCGGCGCTGCCTGCCGCCACCTTCCCATCTCCCTGCAGGTAAGTCCCGTACCCCCCTTTAACTTCCTTTAAATGCATTTGAACCCATTTAAAGCCCCTTTAACCCCCATTAAACCCCTTTAAACCTCCTCCTTCACCTTCTATCGCCATAGATGCGCCCACAGGAGAAGCTCTTCTTCAAGAGCCCTGCTGCCATTGCCCTAAAGCACTTGGCCAGCATCACTCAGGTGTGTATGGGAGAAGGGGAAGGTGGGCTAGGGTGGTGCCATCTTGGGTTCCTCCTTCCTCCTCCCTCTCGCCCCGCAGGTCTGGCGCTTCCAGCGTGCTCAGGCGGAGCTGCTGCTGGCCTCGCACCGTGACACCGCCTGCCGCCATAAGGCGGCTATGGAGGAGGCGAAGAGGGAGCTGGGTGTGAAGGAGAGGTGAGGGGAGGCAGCGGGAGACATCATAGTGGGAGTTCCTCATGGTGGGCACCATCTTGAGTGTGGCTCTGCTTTGCCATGCTGGGAGTGGGAATCTGGGGGCAGCATTACTGGTGAGGTGCCACTGGCGCCAATGAATAGGTGCCATCTTGAGTGGGGCTCCTGGGGGCGGCCATGTTGGTGAGGTTATGGCGCCACTGATGCCAATGGATAGACACCATCGTGGTGGGGTCCTTCCCCCATTGACTCTCCTATAGTGCCGCCCTCTTGCTGTTGGTCTGCTCCACATCTATGGGGCTCTCACTCCCTATTTCCCCCCACAGGGAGCTCGAGTCCCTGCGCCGGGAGAACACAGAGCTGCGTCGAGCTCAGGTGACCCCATAACCTCTCCGATATACCCCCTATACACCCCCATATAGCCCCTATATACCCCCCTATCCCCTTCCCTTATGCATTAACCCCTTTCCTCTCCCCACAGCTCTCCCCCGGCTGGCGAGGGGCCAGCAGGTGACCCCCTCCCTATGGGAGTCTATGAGAGGCTATGGGGCACCTCACTGCCACTCATCACCCCCCTGTGCCCCACACAGGAGCAGCACTCCTCGGCCCGTAGGGGTCACATCCCCGGCACACACAGGTAAGGCCCCCCCAGTACCCCCTTACCTGGGGATTACCCTGAACCCTAACCCGGCCTGCACCCGCAGTGACCCCGCAGGTCTGGCGGCAGCTCAGCTCCCAGGTGGTCAGGTAACAACAGCACAGACCTATTATGTCCCATTATAGTCCATTATAACCCCTAATATACCCCACTGTACTCCATTGTAACCCCATTATATCCCATAATAACCCCACTCTACCCCCATTCTAACCCTTTCCCCCCTACAGCCGCTCAGCCCCGCGGGAGCCCCCCCTGCCCCGCAGCACCCCCTTGTGGCACTTGGGCAGTGCCTACGGGGGTGGGAGCACCACCTCCGGCTCCAGCGTAGGCGAAAGGACCCCGAATCTGGCGGATTTCTACCCAAACCTCCACGGCCCACACAGCCCCTGGCCATAGGACACGCCCGCTTTGCCCAAGCCCCGCTCTTATGTTTATATGGTACTCATTTCCCTAAACCCCTCCCCTCATCTCCATATATAACACCCTTCCACTAAGCCCCGTCCCTTATCTCCATAAATGGCCCCCTTCCTGTAAGCCCGGCCTCATCTCCATATGTGGAGTCCGTTCCGCTAAGCCCCGCCCCTCATGTCCATAATGGCCCCCCCTTCCGCTAAGTCCCGCCACGTTCTCCGTATTTAGCCCAGCCCCTCTGTACACACCGAGTCATGCCCTCACCCATCGTGGCTGCCACGTTGCTGTGGTAACGGCCGCACCGCGCCTCCATTTTGCGCTCCAAGATGGCACTGGCGGGCGTGGTGCGGGCCGGGGCCCCGCTCCCGTCCCGTTCCTTCCTCCCGGGGCTCACAGCGCCCCGGGACCCGGCCGGGCGCTCCCGTCCCGGCATCGCCGCCCCCATCTTCCGGAAGCTGCAGCCGCCGCCGCTGTTGCCAGGGCCGGCATTCACCTCCTGCACAGCACCACCACCCTGGCCTTCAAGGTACGGACATCAGGGGAGTCGTAGGGACCCACAGAGAGACACTGGGGGTGCTGAGACCCATAGAGAAAACATAGAAACTTCACAGGGGCAAAATGGGGTGGGGGTATGCACATAGAGACCATATAGGGGCCCATAAAGAGCTATTTGGGGGAGCTGAGACCTATAGCGAGACATTAGGGGGGGCTGGGACTCATAGAGACCCTAGAGACCTCCACAGACACCCCATAGTTCCCCATATCTCCCCATAACCCTCCATAGACACCTGTAAGCCCCCCCTTCTTACCCAATAACCTTACCATAGACCCCCACAGACACCCCATATCCTCCCGTGTCCTCCCATATTCCCCCATAGAACCCCATAATGTGTCTTCAGACTTCCATGTAGGGATTCCAGACCACATAGACATCCCACAGACACTTATCTCTCCCCTAAACCCCCCTATAGATCCCCACAGACTCCATAATGGGTCTTCAGACCCCCAAATCCCTCCATATCACTCCATAAGCACCCCATACCCCCCAACTAGATGTCATAGAACCCCATTTAGGGACTCCAGACCTCCATATCCCCTCATAGGCACCCTATACCCCTCCCATATCCTTCCATATTTCCCCCTAGAACCCCTTGTAATGGACTCCAGATTCCCATATCCTCCCAAAGAACCACATAATGGGACTCCAGACCTCCATATACCCCCCCCATAAACCCCCATAGAACCCCATATCCCCCAATATCCCCCCACATTCCCTCTTAGAACCCCATGTAGAGACAACAGACCCCTATATCCCTCCTAATCCCCCCATAGACACCCCATATCCCCCTGTAGAACCCCATAAAGGATCTCAAGACCACCATAGAACCTCATGTATGGACTCCAGATCCCCATATCCTCCCATATTTCCTGACAGATCCCCATAAAGGGTTTCCAGACCACCACAGACCCCCATTTAGGGACTCCAGACCCCCATATCCTCCCTAATCCCCCCTAGAGCCCCATGCCGGGACTCCTAACCCTGTATCTCCTCATCTAACCCCATTGTCCCCATTTCCTTGCAGCTGTGCCATGGCATGGTGCATGTGGTTGACTCCTGTACCATGTCTGACTCTTATGTGGCGTTGTGGTCAGTGCAGAAAGCGCTGGAGGTGAGTGCACAGGTGCTGGGCACCCTGGTGGGCAGCATCACCAACTGTGCCTTCTGGCAGCATGTGCTGGTGCTCCAGTGCTGCGTGTAATGCCTGAGCACGCCTTGGTGGCCATCACCACCAAACTGCTGGCCAACATGGTGTACCACTACAAGGGCATGGGGCTCAGCATGGGCACCATGATCTGTGTTTGGGACAAGAGGTAGCCTGGTGAGTGTGGGTTGTTGGGGGGTGCTGGACACCATGGTGTTGGTGGTTGTGGGGCCAAAGACTTGGGTATTGAAGCATATGGCACTGGGGGTTATTGGTTAGGGGGTGATAAACATCATGGGGTTGGAGTTATGGGGCTCATGGTCAAGGTTGGGAGGTGGTGGACATCATGGGGTTGATGGTTATGGGGTGAGGTCCATGGTTATGGGGTTAAGGACTTGAGTATTGAGGTGTATGGGGGTGGGGCTAATGGAGACAATGGGGTTGGAATTATGGGGCTCATGGGCGTGGTTAGTTGGTGGTGGCCATCATGTGGGTGGTGGGTATGGGTGGGTGGAGGATTTGGGTATTGAGTCTATATAGAGATGGGGCTTATGGTTATGGGGTGATGGATACTGTGGGGTTGGAGTTATGGGGCTCATGGTCAAGGTTAGGGGGTGGTGAACATCATGGTCAGGGACTTGGCTATTGAGTTATATGGGGCTGGTGGCCATGGTTATGGATCTCTATTCCCTATGGGGCTGGTACCCACAGCCCCAGAGGTCATCTTGGTCCCCCATTACCCCCTAGGCCTCTACAATGTGGACAGTGACAGCACCCCCATCCCGGGCACTGACTTTTCCGTGGGTTCAGGCTCACCTTATGCCTAATGGGTGCTGGACTGCAGCTACCACCCAGAGCTGAAGCCTGCCGGTGCCCTGGTGCACCGTGCCATCTTGCAGGCCGTACACTGCAATGCCCTCTCAGGCAGCTGCATCTCCGTCAACCATGTGGGGCCCGATGGCTGGTGCTGTGTCACCTGCGACAGTATCACCGAACTGCAGGAGTGCTATGAGCCGAATGGGACGGCAGCGAGTGAAGGAACGGCATAAAACCGGTGGTTGGGGGGTGAAAACAGCCAAAGTGGCCATTTTGGGGCCAAAACCGTCCATTTGCTGGCTGAAAACCTGGGCATTTTGGGGCTAAAAATGGCTGTTTGTAAGGCAAAACTACCCGTTTTGGGCTGAAAACAGCCGTTTTGGAGCTAAAACCGGTCATTTAAGGACTGAAAACGTCCGTTTGTGGGCTGAAAACGGTGTCGGTGCCCAACGCGTGGTCGTTGCTAAAGGCGTCCTTCGGCTCCAGAGTGAACAGGGAGGGGGGGAGGGGGTGGGGTGGGGAGGCGTGGGGACCGAACGTAACAGGGAGCACGTACGTGACGCACGGCGCGATTCGCGCGCGGGGAAGCGAGTGCTGATTGGTTAACGGGGGGGGGTGGTGGTGGTGGTGGTGCAGAGCCGAGCTGGGATTGGTGGAGAGGGGAGGAAGGGGTGGGGCTTGGCGCCGGCGGGAGCGCGACGGTGAGGAGAGGTGCTTAAAGGGGGTTCAATGGGGGCAAAGGTGGGCTATGAGGGGTCTCTGTGGGAGCTTAATTAGGGTCTCTGGGGGATAAATGGGGTTTGGGGGAGTAAATGGGGTCTATGGGGGTGTTAAATGGTGTCTATGGGGGATCTATGTGGGTTAGAAGGGGTTTGGGGAGCCTATAGAGGGTTAAAGGGGGTTTGGGGGGTCTGGAGGGGGTTAAACGGGGTCTATAGGGTGTAAAGGGGGTCTGGGAGGTTAAATGCGGTCTATTAGGGGTTACAGGTTTTGGTTACCCCCATAGACCCTCTTTACCCCCCCCCCTCCCGACTCTTTATGGAAAGTTAAAGGGGGTCTGGGGGGACCTATAGGGGGTTAAATGGGGTCTATGGGGGGTTAAAGGGGGTCTGGGGGGACCTACAGGGGTTTAAATCGGTCTATGGAGGTTAAATGGGGTCTATGGGGGGGCTAAAGGGGGTATATGGGGGGTTAAATGGGGTTTGGGCAGGTCTGTAGGGGGTTAAAGAGGGTCTGTGATGCTCTGTAATGGGAATAGACCCTCTGGGGGGTCTATAGGTCCCAGTAGACCCTTTCGGGTACCCTGGGCTGTCTCACTTCCCACTGGGGAGGACCACCTAGCACATAGGTGCTTGTCCCCCCCTATACCAGCACATAAGGGGCTCCTGATGGCTCTGGACCCTGCTGAGCTGCTGCCAGGTACCCTGCGTGCTATTAATACCCATTAATAGCCATTAATAAGCGTTAATGAGGGCATTAATTACTTAACGCCCCCCAATAGAGGAGGAGCCCCACCTGCCGCTCTTCGGGCTCCCCACCCCCGCCGAGGGACTTGGCTTGGCCCCGCTGGTGCAGGGGCTGAGTGCGGTGCTGGGGCCGGACGGGCTCACTGCGGACCTGCGGGGGGAGCTGCAGCAGGTAACGGGGTGGGTGGTGTCAGGTTGGGGCAGTTTGGGGTATTTTGGGGGAGTTAAGGGGGTGTTCAGTGGGTTTTGGGGAGATTTTGGAGGGATTTAGGGTCATTTGGGAGTGATTTGGGGTGATTTAGGGATGTGAGGGGAGGGTTGGGTTTTGGGGGGGGTTAGAGTGATTTAGGGGTGATTTAGGGAGAGTTTTGGTCAGGTTGGTTCATTTAGGGTCATTTTGGCGTCATTTAGGTTATTTGGGGAGTTTTGGGGTGATTAAGGGGGGTTGAGAGGTTTTGGGGTGATTTAGGGGTATTTTGCACTATTGGTCTATTTTGGACCATTTTTGTCTAATTTAGAGCTATTTGGGGCCATTTTCGTCTATTTTGGTCCAATTTTGGGCTATTTCAGGCCATTTTGCGCCAACTTTGGACTATTTTGGGGTGTTTTTTTGGGTATTTGGGGGCTGTTTTGGGGTGTTTCAGGTGCCCGAGCTCCCCCTGCAGGCGAAGGCGACGCTGGCGCTGCACAGGAGGACGTGGCTGCACTGGGACGGGCTCTGGAGGGCGCTGCAGGAACTGCTGTGGGACCCGCGTGGGATCGAGCCCCCCGTGAGCCATGGGGTGATCCACACATGTGGGGCAATGAGGGGTATGGGGAGACCCACATACATATGGGAGGTGCCTAAAGGGGGCTTTGGGGTGAATTGGTGTGTATTAGGGGGCTTTGGGATGATTTGGGGGTAATTTGGGTGATTTGCAGACCCGCTGGGAACTGGAGCTGCGTTGTGGGGTGCAGGGCATCGCCCAGGCACTGCCCCCAATGGAGGTGAGCGCCCCAAATGACCCAAAACTGTCCCAAACCACCCCAAAATCCCGTTTACCCCCCTCCGTTGCACCCCATAGCCCCCATTCTGTCCGTAGGCACCCCCTGCACCGCTGCTTTCCCTGCTGGAGCTCCGCCTGGCTGCCAAGGTCTTGGACCTCTCCATTTACCACGCGGGGGAGGCTGCCCCGGAGCTGCCATTGTCGGAGGCAGCGCCGACATTGGCTGAGGAGCGGGATGCCCCCCCTGCGGTGTTGCGTCTTGGTGTGGCCCTGAGGGAGGAGGCACAGCGGCTGCAGCGCGCCCGGTGGCGACGCCAGCACCTGCAGGGGGCGCTGCAGACCCAGCGCAGGCGCTACCAAGAGGTGGAACAGGAGGGGAGGGAATACGGGGGTTCTGTGGGGTCTATAATGGGGTTTAAATGAGATCTATGGGGGTTAAGTGGAGTTTGTGGTGTTTATGAGAAATTCGTTGGGGTCTGTGGGGGTGAAAGAGGGCTTGGAGGGGTCTATGTGGGTTAAATGGGGTCTATGGGGGGTTAAGTGGGGTTTGGGGAGATTATGAGAAGTTCAGTGGGGGGGTTAAAGGGGTTTGGAGGGGTCTTGGGGGCTTAAATGAGGTTTGGGGGGTCTACGGGGGAGTTAAATGGGGCCTATTGGGGCTTAATAGGCTCTATGGGGGTTTAAATGGGGTTTGGGGTCTATGGGGTGGTTAATTGCCATCAGTGGGGGCTTAAATGGGGTCTATGAGCAGTTAAATGGGGTTTGGGGGGTCTACTAGGGATTAAAGGGAGTTTGGAGGGGGTCTATGGGGGGCTAAATGGGTTTATGGTGGTTTAAATGGGGTCTATAGGATTCAATGGGCTCTGTGAGGGTTTAAATGGGGTTTGGGGGGTCTATGGGGGCTCAGTGGGCTCTATGGGAGGGTCAGTGGTGCTCTATGGTGCAGGTGCTGGGCCAGTGCTGGGCCTTGCTGGGGGCCTTGGCCGGTGCCCACTGTGCTGGAGCCCTGCAGGAGCTGGACCAGCAGCACGGGCTCTACCTGGAGGGCAAAGGGGTGGCGCTACTGCTCAAGATACGGTATATGGGGCTCTAAGAGTATCTGTGGGGACTATGGGGGTTACAGGCAGTGGGTTACTGTGTGTGCTGCAGGGGGCAGGATCAGCGAAGGACATGGCCCCTCTGCTCTATGGGTGGATATGGGGCTCTAAGGGGGGATTTATAATGGGGGTTGGGGGCTTCTAAAGGGCTTAAGGTGGGATTTGGAGGTGTCCCCTCTGTTACCCCATTGCTCCCTCTGCAGGCTGGAGGAGTTGGGGCTGCTCCTTGCTTCCTACCCTCCACTCACCGTAGCTGCCCATCAATGCATCAAGTGAGTGCCATACGCCCCCTTCCCCTTTATTAATGACCCTGCCCCCTTTATGACACCATCACGACATTACTGCAGGCACAGCATCTCATTGGCCATGGAGGACGCAGAGAGGCAGGGCCAGGAGCTGCAAGCAGCACTCTCAGCCTATCAGGGGCTGGGGGCAGGGCTGGAGGACCTGGCCTCAGCCTATGGGCAGCTACAGGAGGCAGTGGAGCAGAAGAGGTGGGCCCTGCAGCAGCTCCACCCACTCGGCCTGTGACAGCAGTCACAGTCATGTGACAGCAGCCAATAAATGTGCCCAAAGGGCAGTCAATTTATGAATGACGCCACATCTCTTTTCTCTCCCTATAAGGGGAGAATGGGTGGTGGGGAGGAGGGCAGCGACTGGCTGGCAGCGCTGGGGGTCGGGGCCAAGGTGGGCGGGTCCTTGGGATGTAGTGCCAAAAATGGCTGATACCGACTCAGAAATGGGAAAAAATAGGTTAGCAATGGGCAAAGCCGGCTAGAAATGGCAAAAAATGGTTTTAAGACGGGCTAGAAAATGGCAAAACTGGGTTAGAAATGTTAAAATATTTCTAAAACAGGGATAGAAATGGCCAAAAATGGCTTAGAATGGGTTAGAAGTGGGAAAAACTGGGTTAGAAATTGCCTAAAATGGCTTAAAACGGGTTAAAGTGGGAAAAACCAGGTCAGAACTAGCCAAAAGCTTATTAACAAGGCAGACCTGAGTCCTAGACTATGTCGGGGGAGATGGAGTGGGGGAAAAACTTGTAGACCTGAGCCCTTCTTGATTTCATGCCTAAAAGTCCATTTGAATGGAACCTCTCCGGTGGTGGCTCCAGGCTGCCCAGAAGCACAGTGAGTAGAGCACGAATGTCTGGCCTCTGCTCCCACAGCCAAAGAACCACGAGGGAAATCTGGTGCTGGGAATGTTCAGCACACAGTCAGCTTTGCAACGGTGCCACCATCATTGCTGTCGTTCCTCGATTTCATAACTAAAAGTCCATTTGAATGGAACCTCTACGGTGGTCGCTTGAGGCCGACCAGGAGCTCAGTGAGTAGAGCAGGAACGTCTGGCCTCTGCTCCCAGAGCCGAATAGCCAGGAGGGAAATCTGTTGCTGGGAATGCTCAGCACACAGTCAGCTTTGCAATGGTGCCACCATCATTGCTGTCTGTTAAAAATACTCTCAAGCCAGATTTGAGTATGTAAAAAAATTTAATGAGCAAGCAGCAAGCAGACAAAACAGCGCTGGGCGCAAGGGACCTTAGTCCGCTCGTTTTGCGCACCAAAATAAAAAAATTCTTCACCCTTATAATCACACTGCTGCATATTCATGAGGTTACACAACACGTCTCTACATATTCATGACCCATCCCCGCTTCGTATGTTAATGAGCTGAGTCCTTTGCGCAGGCACAGTGCCATCTGGTGGTCGTGAGCGAGGGTCTTAAGATGAAGTAAATGAGTCTTCCTCGGGTCTGAACTTTTCACCTTCAGTTTTGCACATGCTCCCTGGTAGTTTGGTCTCTTTCCAAACTATAAAGCTGGTCGCTGCTGGTTTGGACGGTCCAGACAGTAGGAGTTGAGTTATGGCTCCTTTCACGTATCAATGGCCTTGGTCCTCTCATCCTGCTCTGGCGAGCACTGTAAATGTTGAGCTCAGGCAGTAACATACACAAGCAAACGGTTTAGCTTTGATCCCCCCAGTACGGCTACCACCCCTTTGAGGATGCTTTGATGTGCAAACAAGAACTGGTTCAGTGAGATTCACCATATACTCACTTTGATGAGCAAACACCCCCCATCACACTGCCGCTCCTCGATTTCATACATAAAAGTCCATTTGAATGGAACCTCTCAGGTGGTGGCTCCAGGCTGCCCAGCAGCACAGTGAGTAGAGAGCGAACATCTGGCCTCTGCTCCCAGAGCCGAAGAGCCAGGAGGGGAATCTGGTGCTGGGAATGTTCAACACACAGTCAGCTTTGCAACAGTGCCACCATCATTGCTGTCGCTCCTCGATTTCATACCTAAAAGTCCATTTGAATGGATCATCTCCGGTGGTGGCCCCAGGCTGCCCAGCAGCACAGTGAGTAGAGCATGAACGTCTGGCCTCTGCTCCCAGAGCCGAAGAGCCAGGAGGGAAATCTGGTGCGGGGAATGTTCCGCACACAGTCAGCTTTGCAATGGTGCCACCATCATTGCTGTCGCTCCTCGATTTCATACCTAAAAGTCCGTTTGAATGGAAACTCTCCAGTGTGCGCTCGAGGCTGCCCAGCAGCACAGTGAGTAGAGCACGAACGTCTGGCCTCTGCTCTCCGAGCCGTAGAATCACGAGGAAATTTTGGTGCTGGAAATGTTCAGCACACAGTCATCTTTGCAACGGTGCCACCATCATTGATGTCGCTTCTCAATTTCATACCTAAATGTCTATTTGAATGGAATCTCTCCGGTTGTGGCTCCAGGCTGCCCAGCATCACCGCGAGTATAGGAGGAGCATTTGGCCTCTGCTCCCACAGTTGAAGAGGCCAGGAGGGAAATCTGATGTTTGATATCTTCAAACACAGTGAGCTTTGCAACGGTGCAATCTGCATTGCTGACGCTAACCCTACCTTAAACCCTAACCTTAACCCTAAGATTAAGCCTAACCCATCCTAACCCTAACCCCTAAATTTAACTCCTAATGCTAACCCTAATGTATAACCCTTACCATAAATTTTAACCCTAACCCTAATGTCTGCCACCCTAACCCTCATGGCTGCCACCCTAAATCTAAGCCTAACTCTAATTCCTAACACTAAACCTAATCCCTAACCTTAACCATGACCCTAACACTAACCATGACCCTAACTCTAAGGGTAACTGATCCTAAACCTTACCCTAACCCCTAACAGTAACCCTAATTCTAACAATGAAACTAACCCCTAAAACTAACACTACCCTGTAGTGGTTTTAACCCAACCAGACAGCTTGTTACCCACTCCCCCCCCTTTCTTGCCCTCCCCTTATTCCTGGAGGGACAGAGAGGAGAATCAGAAAGAATGCAACTCCCACGGGAGATAAGAACAGTTTAGTAACTAAGGTATAACACAAATCACTACTGCTACCACCAATAATAGTAATGATAAAGGAAATAACAAGGGAAGAGAATACAACACCCCATCACCAGGCGACCGATAACTCGCCCCCCCCAGCCCGACCAAGCACCAACCGATACCTCCTCCAACCCTGCAGTCCACCTGCCCTTCCGGGTAACTCCCCCAGTTCCCTCCTGGGCATGACGTGCTGTGGTATGGAATACCTCTTTGGTCAGTTTGGGTCAGGTGTCCTGTCTCTGCTTCCTCCCGGCTTCCCTCCTCCCTGGCAGAGCATGAGGCTCACAAAGTCCTTGGCCAAACCAAAACATCATTGTTTTCAGCTCTGTTCCCAGCTGAAAGCCAAAACACAGCACTGCACCAGCTACCAAGACAGAGAAAAATGAATGCTACTGCTAAACCCAGGACATGCCCTTAACCCCTAACACTAACCCCTAGCCAGAACTCTTTCCCTAACATTTAATCCTAACCCCAAACCCTAATTGCTGCCACCCTAACACTAAAACTTACTGTAACCCACCCTAACCGCTAACACCTAATCTTAATCCTAACTCCTAAACCTAAATCTACACCATCCTAAACCTTATCCTAACACTAACCGTAACCCTAACTCTTACCTAACCCTAAACCCTTAACTCTAACCCCTAACTATAACCTCTAACAGTAACCCTAATCCTAAACCTAACCCATCCTAACCCTAAACACTAAGCCTAATCCCCTAACTCTAATCCAAAACCCTAACTCTAAACCTTACCGTAACCCATAACCCCAACCCCTTCTAACCCCAACCATCCACAGCCGAAGAACCAGGCTAGAAAACTGGTGCTAATCTAACTCAGGTTAGGCTACCACAGGCTAGGATCGGTTTATCTAATCTAACCCAGGCAGAGCTAGGTTAATCTAACCCGACTAGCCTAGGCTAATCTAACCCAGGATAGGCTAGGCTCATCTAACCCATGCTAGGCTAGGCTGACCTAACCCAAGCTAGAGTAATCTAATTTAAAGCACACTATGCTAGGCTAGGCTAACCTAACCTAATCCAACCCAGGCAGAGCCTGGCTAGCCTAATCTAATTTAAGGTAGGCTAAACCAGGCTAGGCTAATGTAATCTAACCCAGGCAGAGCTAGGCTAGACTAATGTAATCTATGCTAGGCTAATATAACCTAGCATAGGCTAGGTCAATATAACCCAGGGTAGGGTTAGGATAATCTAATCTAATATAACCTAGGGAGCTGTAGCCTAAGCTAGGCTACCTAAGGCTACCTGATCTAACCCAGGCTAGGCTAATATAACCCAGGCTCCACTAGGCTAGGTTAATTTAGACTAACTCAGAACTAAAATAATCTAACCCAGACTAGGCTCGGAAGGCTAATCTAGTCTAACCCTGGCAGAGCTAGGCTCATCTAACCCAGGCTAGGGTAATCTAACCCAGTCTTGGAAAGGATAATCTAACCCTAATTAGGGTTAGTGTTAGAGGTTATAGTTAGGGGTTAGCGTTAAGGGTTTAGGGTTAGGTAAGAGTTACGATTACGGTTAGTGTTAGGATAAGGTTTAGGATGGTGTAGATTTAGGTTTAGGTGTTAGGATTAAGGTTAGGTGTTAGCAGTTAGGGTGGGTTACAGTAAGGTTTAGTGTTAGGGTGGCAGCAATTAGGGTTTGGGGTTAGGCCAGACGTTCGTGCTCTACTCACTGTCCTGCTGGGCAGCCTAGATACACCACCGGAGTATGGTCGTCCTACTGTGCGCGCGCGGACACAGTGAGCTACTGCGCATGCACGGGTCGAGATGCGCGGTAGCTGTGTCCCTGCCTCAATTCTGTGCCCCACCCTCCCTCCCCAGGCCGGCGGGGACCCTGTCCCACCTGGGCCGGGCGCTGCGGGACCCGGTGACCGATCAGCTCTATCCTGAGCCCCTGCGGAGCCTGGAGGTGCCGGCGCAGGCCCTGCCCGTCAGCACCATCGATGTCCTGGGCAGGGGGCAGCAGGCGCTGGAGGAGGTGGATGCGGAGCTGGGTGAGGGCATGGACAGCAATGGGGACATGGGGGCAACGGGGACATGGGGGGCAATGGGGAAATGGGGGTCAATGGGGACATGGGGGGCAATGGGGGCATGGGGGCCAATGGGGGCATGGGGCTCAATGGGGCCGCTGCTGTGGCCAGGCCTGGCCTTCGACCCTTAGGACGTGCAGTTCTACACCCAGCTCTTCCTCGCTGCCGGTTGCAACCCCACCACTGTGGAGTGGTTTGACCTGGCGCAGTCCAACAGGTGCCCCCTAACCCTGCCCCATGGATCCCAAACCTGGCCCTGGGGACCCCAAACCTTGCAGGTCCCCCCGACCATGCCCCATTGCCCCCGCAGCGAGCACAGCTGGCACTGGTTCTTCAAGGGGCGGCTGGTGGTGGACGGGCATGTGGAGCTGCAGTCGCTCATGCAGCGCATCGCGAGCACGCAGCGCTCCAGCAACGGCAACAAGGTCATCCAGTTCTGCAACAACAGCAGGTGGGGCTCCGGGGGGCAGCTATGGGGCTCTATATGTCTCTATGGGGTGTCTGTGGGGTGTCTACGGGTCTATGTGGTCTCTATGGGGTGTCTACGGGTCTCTGTGTGTCTCTATGGGGTCCCTATGGGTCTCTATGTGGTCCCTGTGGGGTCTCTATGGGTTTCTATGGGTCTCTATCGGGTCTCTCTGGGGTCCCTATGGGTACGTATGGGTCCCTATGGGTCTCTGTGGGTTACCCCTCTCTGCCCCCCAGCGCCATCCGTGGGGCCGCGGTCTCCTCGCTGTGGCCGCAGGACCCGGCCGGACGCAGCCCCTACGAGCGGAGAACTTCGATCCGTCACGTGATCTTCACCGCCGAGACCCACAACTTCCCCAGGGGTCAGCGGGGGGGGCGTGGCCTCGGCTGTATGAATGGGTGGGGGGGGCCTTTCCGTGGCCCCGCCCCTCACGCTTGGCCCCGCCCCGCCCCGCAGCTGTGGCCCCTTTCCGTGGCGCCACCACCGGGACCGGCGGCCGCATCCGGGACGTGCAGAGCACCAGGCGCGGGGTCCATGTGATCGCTGGCACCGCCGGGTACAGCTTCGGGAACCTTCTGCTGCCCGGTGAGCAGCAGGGACACCAGTATAGATATAGGGATACACCAGTACGGATATAGGGATATACCAGTATGGATATAGAATACACCAGTATGGATATAGGGATACCAGTATGGACATAGGGTACACCACTATGGACATAGGGATACATCAGTATGGATATAGGGATACACCAATATGGACATAGGGATACACCAGTATGGATATAGGGATACATCAGTACGGATATAGGGATATACCAGTATGGATATAGGATACACCACTATGGATATAGGGATACACCAGCATGGATACAGGGATACATCAGTATGGATACAGGGATACACCAATATGGATACAGGGATACATCTGTACGGATATAGGGATATACCAGTATGGATATAGGATACACTAGTATGGATATAGGGATACACCAGTATGGATATAGGGATACCAGTATGGACATAGGATACACCAGTATGGACATAGGGATACACCACTATGGATATAGGGATACACCAGTATGGTTATGGGATACACCAGTATGGATATAGGGTATACCAGTACAGATATAGGATTATACCAGTATGGATATAGGAATACACCAGTATGGATATAGGGATACACCAGTATGGATATGGGATACACCAGTATGGATATAGGGATACACCAGTGTGGATATAGGGTACACCAGTATGGATATAGGGATATACCAGTACGGATATAGGGATACACCAGTACGGACATAGGGATATACCAGTACGGACATAGGGATACACCAGTACGGATACAGGGATATACCAGTACGGATATAGGGATACACCAGTATGGATAAAGGGATACACCGGTGCAGATATAGGGATACACCGGTAGGGACATAGGGATACATCGTTATGGATGTAGGGATACACCAGTATGGATATAGGGATACATCGGTATCGATAGAGGTATATACCAGTACGGATATAGGGTACACCAGTACGGATATAGGGATACACCGGTATGGATATAGGGTACACCAATATGGATATAGGGATACAGCAGTACGAATATAGGGATACCAGTATGGATATAGGATACACCGGTATGGATATAGGAATACCAGTATGGATATAGGAATACACCAGTATGGATATAGGGTACAAAAGTATTGATATAGGGATACGCCAGTATGGATATAGGGATACATCAGTATGGATATAGAGATAAACCAGTATGGATATAGGGTACACCAGCATGGATATAGGATACACCAATATGGATATAGGGATACCAGTATGGACATAGGGTACACCAGTATGGATATACGGTACACCAGTATGGATATAGGGATACACCAGTATGGATATAGAGATATACCAGTACGGACATAGGGACACACCAGTATGAATATAAGGATACACTGGTATGGATATAGGGATACGCCAGTAAGGACATAGGGATACATCGGTATCGATAGAGGTATATACCAGTACGGATATAGGGTACACCAGTACGGATATAGGGATACACCGGTATGGATAGAGATATATACCAGTACGGATAGAGTGTACACCAGTACGGATATAGGGATACACCGGTATGGATATAGGGATACACCAGTATCAATATACGGATACACCAGTACGGATATAGGGATATACCAATATGGATATAGGGTACACAAGTATGAATATAGGATACACCAGTATGGATATAGGGATACCAGGACGGACATAGGGTACACCAGTATGGATATAAGGTACACCAGTATGGGTATAGGGATACACCAGAATGGACATAGGGATACACCAGTATGGGTATATGGTACAGCAGTATGGATATAGGGATACACCAGTATGGATAAAGGGATACACCAGTACGGATATAGGGATACACCAGTATGGATATAGGATACACCAGTATGGATATAGGGATACACCAGTATGGACATAGGGATACACCAGTATGGATATACGGGTACACCAGTATGGATATAGGGATACACCGGTATGGATATAGGGATACACCGGTACGGATATACGGATACCAGTATGGATATAGGGTACACCAGTATGGGTATAGGATACACCGGTATGGATATAGGGATACCAGTATGGACAAAGGGTACACCGGTATGGATACAGGGATACATCGGTACGGATACAAGGATATATCAGAATGGATATAGGGATACACCAGTATGGATATAGGGATATATCAGTATGGATATAGGGTACACTAGTATGGATATAGGATACACCAGTATGGATATAGGGATACCGGTATGGACATAGGGTACACCAGTGTGGATATAGGGATACACCAGTATGGGTATAGGGATACACCAGTATGGGTATAGGGATACACCAGTATGGGTATAGTGTACACCAGTATGGATATAGGGATACACCAGTATAGATACAGGGATACACCAGAACGGACATAGGCATACACCAGTATGGTTATGGGATACACCAGTATGGATATAGGGATATACCAATATTGATATAGGGATCCACCAGTACGAACATAGGGATACACCAGAACGGACATGGGAATACACCAGTATGGATATAGGGATACACCAGTACGGATATAGGGATACACCAGTATAGATATAGGGATACACCAGTATAGATATAGGGTACACCAGTATGGATATAAGGATACAGCAGAACGGACATAGGGATACACCGGTATGGATATAGGGATACACCAGTACGGACCTAGGCATACACCAGTATGAATATAGGGATACACCTGTACGGATATAGGGATACACCGGTATGGATATAGGGATACACCGGTATGGGTATGGGGATACATCAGTATCGATATAGGGATACACCAGTACGGACATAGGGATACACCGGTATGGATATAGGGATACAGGGATACATCGGTATGGATAGAGGTATATACCAGTACGGATAGAGGGTACACCAGTACGGATATAGGGATACACCGGTACGGATATAGGGTACACCAGTATTGATAGAGAATACACCAGTATGGATATAGGGATACAGCAGAACGGACATAGGGATACACCGGTATGGATATAGGGATACCAGTATGGATATAGGGTACACAAGTATGAATATAGGATACACCAGTATGGATATAGGGTAGACCAGTATGGGTATAGGGATACACCAAAACGGACATAGGGATACACCAGTATGGATATATGGTACAGCAGTATGGATATAGGGATATACCAGTATGGATATAGGGATACACCGGTATGAATATAGGGATACACCGGTACGGATATAGGGATACACCGGTACGGACATGGGGATACACCGGTACGGACATGGGGATACACCGGTACGGACATGGGGGTACACCGGTACGGACATGGGGGTACACCGGTACGGACATGGGGGTACACCGGTACGGACATGGGGGTACACCGGTACGGACATGGGGGTACACCGGTACGGATATACGGGTACACCGGTACGGATATACGGGTACACCGGTACGGACATAGGGGTACATCAGTATGGATATAGGGGTATACCAGTACGGATATAGGGATACATCAGTATAGATGGAGGGATACACCAGTATGGACATAGGGATACATCAGTGTGGATATACGGATACATCAGTATGGATATAGGGATATACCAGTACGGATATAGGGATACATCAGTATAGATGTAGGGATACACCAGTATGGACATAGGGATACATCAGTGTGGATATAGGGATACACCAGTACGGATATAGGGGTATACCAGTACGGATATAGGGATACATCAGTATAGATGTAGGGATACACCAGTATGGACATAGGGATACATCAGTGTGGATATAGGGATACATCAGTATGGATATAGGGTACACCAGTATGGATATAAGGGTATACCAGTACGGATATAGGGATACATCAGTATAGATGTAGGGATACACCAGTATGGACATAGGGATACATCAGTATGGATATAGGGTACACCAGTACGGACATACGTATACATCAGTATGGATATAGGGATACACCAGTACTGATATAGGGATACATCAGTATGGACATAGGGATACAACAGTATGGATATAGGCATACATCAGTACGGATATAGGGATACAGCAGTACGGATATAGGGATACAGCAGTACGGATATAGGGATACAGCAGTACGGATATAAGGGTACATCGGTATGGACATAGGGATACGCCAGTACGGACATAAGGATCCCAATACAGTCACAGGCACCCTGATAGAGGCACAAGCACCCTAGGCCCCCAAAACCACCCCTGGGTCCCGAAATCCAGCTACAGGCCCCCCAAACCCCCCCTCAGAACTCCAAAAGCAGCTTCAGAGACACCAGAAACCTGTCTGGGACCCCCTAGACCCCCCTGGAACCCTACAAGAGCCCCACCTTTGTACCCCCCCTTTGTACTCCTTCTGTGTA